CTTTGGTGACCGGCTCCTTCCACTGGGCACATTGTTCTCAAGGTTTCTCCGCCGTGAAGCATGTATCCGCGCTTGGCTGCTTATTACGGCTGAGCAACACTGCAGCGGGGGGACGGACCGCCTTTGCTTCTCCGTTCGTCATGGGGTGGACATCGGAGTCACTGCATATTTGTTTCACTGGTATAAATAATTCAAAAAGACTTGTGATTAAATCCATGTCATCTCAGGAAAGCACAAGGAGTGAAACTGTGTGGCGCAACTAAGAGGGATAAACAGGAGGTGTTCTAATTATTCAGAAATGGGGTGGGGTGGGGCCAGACAAACAAAGCACCACGTTACCCTGGTGCACCCGACCTCTGTGCTTTTCCTGGGTCAACGTGAAGACCAGGTCCTGGTCTCTCAGGTCCCGCCCACGGAGATGATGTGGTTGATGCTCCTGGCGGCCGGGAGGGGGCGCGCGCGGTCTCGGCGGCTGTCCGAATGCCTCCTGGTACCCCGGCGGCGAGCGCCACCGGGAGCGCCCTCCGACCCCACAGTCTCAGTGTGTCCTGCGCTGCGGACCCAGGACGCCCATGCAGGGCCCCTTAAGGACAGGACAGTGGCTCTAAGGTGCCTCCTGCAGGGGTGAAGTGTGGGCGTTTGGGCCAGCAGATAGCCAGCTACCAGGAGAATGCGAGGGAGATCCTTACTCCACCTGACTTCCTACATAATGCCCCATTCCATCCCCTTTCCCTTTCTCCATTTTTTTCCATAGCACTTCCTTTTTACAAAATCAACTTTCCTGAAGTATAGTTGACATAGAATAAAATTTGCCCTTCTGAACATGTATATTTGCCATATATAACCTCCACCCCAATCAACATATGGAACATTTCCATCATTTAAGAAGTTCCCTCAGGGGCCTCCTAGATGGGGTAGTGTTTAAGTCCCCGCGTTCGGCTTCAGGCCCGGGTATGCAGGTTCAGATCCCCGGTGCTGACCTAACACGGCTTGTCAAGCCACACCGGGGCGGCATCCCACATAAAAGAGGGGAAGATTGACAGAGATGTTAGCTCAGTGATAATTAGCGCAGTGATAATCTTCCTCAAGCAAGAGGAGGAAGATTGGCAACAAATGTTAGCTAAGGGCCAATCTTCCTCACCCACACCCAAAAAATTCCCTTAGATAGCACCTTTAAACAAACTATAGCTTAACTACTTATTCTATCTATTTATTCTGTCTCCTCCACGGCCCCTAGAATGTAGGCTCCTGGAGGCAAGATCTTTGTTTTTTTTGTTTTTTTTTTTGAAGAACATTAGCCCTGAGCTAACATCCGCTGCCAATCCTCCTCTTTTTGCTGAGGAAGACTGGCCCTGAGCTCACATCCGTGCCCATCTTCCTCTACTTTATATGTGGGACGCCTACCACAGCATGGCTTGCCAAGCAGTGCCATGTCCACACCCGGGATCCAAACCGGGGAACCCCGGGCCACCAAAGTGGAATTCGGGAACTTAACCTCTGTGCCACCGGACTGGCCCAAGATCTTTGTTTTATTCACGGAAGTTCCCGAGTTCACAGTGCTGGGGGAATAGTAGGTACTAGACACACATTTGTTGAATAAGTAAATTCCAGAACACGAGAGAATCAATTGGAAAATGAGATATTATCATCCCTAGAAAACAGTAAAAGCAAATGCTGTGGGTTGAATCATGTCCCCACAAAGGATGTTGAGTCCTACCCCCCAGGGCTTGTGAATGTGACATTATTTGGAAACAGGGTCTTTGCAGATGATCAAGTAAGATGAGGTCATTAGGGTGGACCCTAATCCACTATGCCAGGTGTCCTTATAAACAGGGGAAATTGGGACACTGACACACACACAGGGAACATGCCATGTGAAGACAAGAGCAGAGATCGGGGTGATGCAACTACAAGCCGAGGAGAGAGGCAGGGAACAGACTCTCCCTCGCAGCCCTCAGAAGGAACGACCCTGTGGAAACCTTGATCCCAGACTCTCAGCCTCCAGAATTACAGACAACAAGTTTCTGCTGCTGAAGCCCTCATTTGTGGTACTTTGTTTGCCATCTCTGATAAGCTAACAGGAGCTGTCAAATATTTATCCAAGTCAGTTTGGGAAGAACTTGTGAAGGATAATTTTTACAAAGAAATTCAAACTGGAAAAGACCATTAGATTCAACTCTATAAACACATACACCTATTTCCCTTCCCACCCCTGACAAATGCAAACGATATTTCCACCATATGTGGAATGCTAGGGTTAAGCTGAGTTCCATAAAAAAGATTTCTTAAATCAGTAATCTGAACAAGCCAGTAGAAGAGTGGGTAACGCAGCAGTTCTCACAGTGTGGTCTGCTGAACCTGGGGGCTCCCAGAACCCTTCTGGGAGGTCCATGGTGATACTGAGATGTGGCTGCCTTTGTCACTGTGTTGACTTTGCTCTGATGATGCCAAAACAGGGGTGGCTGTTAGTATGCATCAGGGCAGTAACCACAAACTGACAGGATTTGTTGCCAGTGATAAAATTCTAGCCTTCTAGCAAACAGCAAAATTTTGGAAAACTTGTGTCTGCCATCTTTAGCTTCACAGCTTCCCAGTATTTCAAGGCTTTCGTGTTGAGATTGGTGGCAATATTAATGAACGTCATGCACTTTTTATGTTGTATAATAAATGCATCAACATTTGCAAGATCTGCATAAGTCAATGAACCAAAATTTTCTAAAAGACCAATTCACGATGTTACAAAATTACAGGAGGGTAAAAGATCCTTTCAAAGTGCAAAATAGATCAATGGAGTTTAATGTAATAGAATACAGAAAGTGTCCTGGTGTCGTTTCAGATTCCATTTTGCAGTGAACCTTCAAAAAACTACCACGTGTAGAGTGTTGGTGTCGTATCAAAGATGAGTACCCACAACTATCTGATAGGCTGCTAAAATTCTTCCTTTTCCAATTACTTCTCTGTGTGAGGCTGGATTTTCTTCATGTACTTCACCCAAAACAATATATCCGACTAGAGTGAAGGCAGAGGCAGACATAAGACCCAGCTGTGTTTTCTCAAACACAATATGAAAGAGATTTTCAGAGATGGCCAATCTTCTCACTCACTGTTTGGTTTGAAGATATAGTTATACAGTACATTTATTGCTATTTTACATTCTCAGGTTAAATTTCTAATATTGTAAATATTGATAGGTATAACCCACATAACCAAAGACTCTTTGAGCTGTTCAACAATTTATAAGGAGTGTAAAGGGGTTCTAAGACCAAGAAGTTTGAGAACCACTGGACTAAGGAATATAAATATTAAAACTCAGGCCCCAGTGGATCACACTCTGTGAATTCTCACAATGACTCCATGAGGTGGGTGCCATTATTATCTCCATTAACCAGATGAAATACTGAGGAACAGAGAGGGGAAGTAATTGCCCAACTCACACAGCTAGTAAATGCCAGAGCCGGGATTTGAACCCAGTTATCTGACCCCAAGCTCGTGCACTTCCTTTGGGACAATTTGGCAACATGTTTAAAAAGCCTTTTAAAATATTAGCCTTCTTCAATCTCTTTTAGGAATTTCAAGAAAGGGAATAATGTCAGTGATGTCAGGAATTTATATATAAAGATATTTATAATAAAGTTAGAAACAGCCAGTAGTCAGTGGATGGTCAGTAGATACGGCAGATTCATGAAGTCCTTTGAATGACATTGGAGAAGGCCCAGGAAATGACCTGGCCCCCGGAGAAAGGATTGGGGGACAGTGGAAGCCATGGCAGCTGAACCGAAGGTGGGAAGAAGGGATCTGCAGAGCCAGGGCCTGGAGGAAGAAGGGAGCCTTTCTGAAGGGGGTGCGGATCCCGCTGATATTTGGACAGGAAGAAGAGGATGCGGGTCAGGACACAGAAGGACATGGGCAATGTCACGGAGGCCCAGGGCAGGCGCGGCCCATGGGGCCTGGACGTGGACCTCCTGGAGCTCAGAGGGCACTTCCAGCTGCAGCTCTATAGAGAGAGGAGGAAGGCGGAGGGGAGGGAGTCTCAAGGGAGCGTGGGGTTTTCTAAAGAGGAGTAGCGTCTTCACTGTGCAATCGCTGAGGACGCGCACCCAAAGGCTGGGGGCTCCGGCCAGGCGAGGGGGAGCGGAAGGAGCGCATAGAGGAAGGGGTCCCCGCAGGGCTGGGGCGGGGATGGTGGTCCGCGGTGAGCGTAGGGCCCTAGGCGCAGTGCGGGAGGGGAGGCGGGGGCGTCCCTACGCCTGGGGCCGCTCCGGCAGCCACCCGCCAAGTGTCCCAGAAAGCAGCGCCCAGACCCGCAGCTCCTTGCGCCCGAGCAATCCCGGTCCCCATCGCACAGGGTGGTCGGAGAATGACAAACGTCCAGTGGCTGTGCGCTGTTTACTGGAGGCTGGACGGATGGACGACGGCTGGACCAATGGGCGAGGGCGGGACAGTGGCGATGGCTGGACCGACGGGAGAGGGAGGGACCAATGGTGAGTGAGGAGCCAATAGGCGAGGGCTGGACCAATGGGCGAGGGCTGTACTATTGGGCCAGGGTGGGACCAATGGACTAGGGCTGGACCGATAGCGGGGCTGCTGCGCCCTCAATGATGCTGCGCTGAGCGGAGCCAGTAGTTTAATGAACGGACACCCTCCCTCCGCTCGCTCAGGAAAGCGACGGGGTGACCGAGGCCTTTCAACAAATGCTCCGGCTTACCTCGCGGGGAGCCGGGGTCAAACCCTTCTCGGGGGAGGTCCGGGGGTCTCAGTCAACCCCAACACCCTTGCGCTAGGAGACCCCAGCCCAGGACTCGAATCCAGGCCGCAGGATCCCCCACGCTCCGCCCTTGAAGGCCACCGCCCAATCCCGGGCTTGTCACGCCCCCTTGGCGAGCCGCGGCCCCTCCCCCGCGCGCCGATTGGTCAGGCCGACAGTTCGTCTCCGCCCGGGGAAGACCCGGAGAAAGGGAGTTGGCTCAAGGAATGAGCTCCCCCCAGCCTTGCTGCGCATGCTCGCACCGTGACCCCAGCTTGAGGTGACGGTGTGAACCGAGGCGGGGGCCCGAGGCACAGAGGCTGCGGGACCTGCTGCGGCTCGGTTGCCGGAGAAGGAGGGTCCCGCTGCCATCACCATCCGTCCAGTGCCCGGTGAGGACAGGCCCCTGCAGGTCGGGGAGGGTCCCGGGCCCCACTCCGTGGCCGCGCCCCGGCCGGACTCTCCCAGGGTCCCAAGGGATGCTGATGGGATGCTGGGGCGGAGGGCTCCCCCGGCTCTGCGTCCCGGCGCTCAGGCCGCCTTCTTGTCCTTCACCCTCGATTCGCCCCATTTCTCCTCGCTCTTCCTTCCCCCCACCCACACGCCCCCAGGAATGAGCCCTGACACCCCAAATCAGGGAGCCCCACGTTGGTCTGCCCTTCCTTGACCCCAGCCAGAACTGTCCCGTTCCCTGCACCCATCCCCAGCCCCGTCCCACTCTTGTGGCTCTAGAGGTCCCTCAGGGGCGGCAGAGGAGGTGTGAGATATTGAGGCGGGGGAGACCCTTTGGAGGGCTTGGTCAGGAGGTAGTGGTAATGCTGGGAGAGGAGCGGAGCGGGGAGCTGGGGCCATCTGGACGCGGCATAGACAGGTCTGATGATAAATTACGTTGGGTGAGAAGGAGTAAAAGTAGTCAAGATTCCGAGCTGTGGTGATTAAGGGAAAGGAGGCGCCCTTACTTGAGATTTCCACTTTGGGGAAGCTCCTCCCTGCATACTGTAGATAGCATTTCTTGCCCTTCTGTGGGTCACTGCTGCTTTGCAAAGCTCCCTGTTAGGATGCGTACCTGCACACCTAAGTGGGCCCATCATCCTACCAGCGAGGGGACAGCTGTCAGTATTGCCGGGAACTTTTGAAAACAACGACTTCACCCTTGTCTAACTGCTATTAAGAACCTCTGCTAAATTCTCCGCCATTCCCATGACACGGAGGAAACCAGCCCAGAGAGGTTAAGAGGTTTGTCCTCGTGGCTGAGGACGCAGGTGTTGGTGAATGTTGATAGTGTTTCTCTCCTAAGTGTATCAAGGTAATTCTGTTGACCTCCTGTTCGCTTCCTATTGCTGGGGTAAATTACCACCAGTATAGTAGCTGAAAACATCACAACTTTGAAACAATCTTACAGCTCTGGAGGTCAGAAGTCTGAGATGGGTCTCACTGGGTTAGAGTCAAGGTGTGGGCAGGGCTGTGTTCCTTCTTGAGGGCTCTGGGAGAGACAGTATGTCTTTCCAGCTTCTAGAGGCTTCCAGCATTCCTTGGCTCGTGACCCATTCCCTCCACCTTCAAAGCCAGCAACATGGCATCTCTCCGACCCTGCTTTCCTTGTTACGTCTCTCTCTGACTCTCCTGCCTCCCTTTTCTGCTTTTTAGGACCCTTGTGATTGTGATTGGACCCACCTGGGGAATTGAAGCTGCTCTCCTAGTTTAGTAACCCGCGTGCCGTCGGCAGCCTCAGTTCCCCTTCGCCCTGGAAGGCAGCATACTCACAGCCTCCAGGGACTAGGACCTGAGTGTCTTTGGGGGCCATTATTCTCCCACGGTTCCTAACCTTGTGTGCGTGTGATCTGGGGCTTACACGGAGCCATCTTTACACAGCTGGGTCTCCTTTGTGCAGACCAGCATCATGACAGCTGGTTTGGATAAATGGGTGACCAGAGACCTAGCCATATCAAACCATCAAATTGGGGGGTTAGGCCAAGAGTGTAAAGTGAGTGAAGTAAGGTAAACTGTTAAGCCTTTTGATCTTTTTAATTCATTTCTGCTTTACTTTTTAAAATTCTGTTTATTCAGTGAACTTTTATTGAGTAAAAATTTAATTTTCAAAATATATACATTTGGCTTAAAGTAACTGCCTCTCAACTCTTCCCTTTATACCTAGAAAATAAGTTGCTAGAAGGTCAGGGATGAATCCAGGAGAGAGACTGATCCAGCCTGAGGACATGTCCGCCCCTGTTCATGGAGTGGCTGAAGAACAGTCAATCTGTGAACTAGAAATGACAGACTTCTCAGGTAGAGGGCCTGTGGCATCATCAATGTTTCTCAAAGTGTCAGAATCAAATGAGGTGCTGGCTAAAAATGTGGTTCTCAGGTCCCTCTCCAGACCCTCTGAGTCAGCTGGCTGGTGGTGGAGTGGTTTCATTCTGCATTCCCCTCATCACTAATGATGTTGGACATCTGATGTGCTTACTGACCATTTGTATTTCTTTGGAGAAGGCCTATTCAGAGGCTTTGCCCCTATTTTTTTTGTTGAGGAAGATTGGCCCTAACGTCTGTTGCCAATCTTCCTCTTTTTACTTGAGGAAGATTGTCCCTGAGCTGTCACCTGTGCCAGTCTTCCTCTATTTTTTATATGTAGGATGCCACCACAATATGGTTTGATGAGCAGTGTGTAGGTCTGCACCCAGGATCTGAACCTGTGAACCCTTGGCTGCTGAAGCAGAGTGGGCGAACTTAACCACTACACCACTGGGCTGGCCCACCTTTGCCCATTTTTAAATCAGGTCATTTGTCTCTTATTACCGAGTTAGAATTCTTTACAAATTCCAGACACAAATCTCTTATCAGATATACGATTTGCAAAAATTTTCTGCCAATCTCTGGGTTGTCTTTTAACTCTCTTGATGGTGTCCTTTGACTCACAAAAGTTTTACATTTTGATGAAGTCCAGTTTATCTGTTTCTTCTTTGCTTGCCTGTACTTTTAGTGTTATAACGAAGAAAGCTTTGCCTACTCCAAGGTCACAAAGATATGCTCCTATCTTTTTTTAAAAAAAGTTTTCTAATTAGTTCTCACAATAAAGTCTATGATCCATTTAGAGTTAATTTTTGTATATGGCGTGAGGAAGGGGTCCAACTTCATTCTTTTTTTTTGAGGAAGATTAGCCCTGAGCTAACATCTGCCACCAATCCTCCTCTTTTTGCTGAGGAAGACTGACCCTGAGCTAACATCCATGCCCATCTCCCTCTACTTTATATGTGGGATGCCTACCATAGCATGGCTTGCCAAGTGGTGCCATATCCAAACCGGCAAACCCCAGGCTCCCGAATCAGAATGTGTGCACTTAACTGCTGCACCACTGGGTGGCCCCCAACTTCATCTTTTGTCTTGGATGTCCAGTTGTCCTAGTATTCTACATTTGTTGAAAAGTCCATTTGTTCCCCTGCTAAACTGTCTTGGCACCCTTGTTGAAAATCACTTGCCCACATGTGAGAGTTTCTGGACTCTCAATTCTACATCCTCAGTCTATGTGTCTATGTCTTGATTACTGTAGCTTGGTGATAAGCTTTGAAATCAGGAAGTGTGAGTCCTCCAACTTTGTTCTTTTTTCCAGATTGTTTTGGCTGTCTGGGTCCTTTGAGTTTCCAAATGAATTTTAGGATCAGCTAGAGTGGCTCAGAGAACTCAGGAAAACAGTTCACTTACTAGGTTACCAGTTTATTATAAAGGGATGCGACTCAGGAACAGCCAGATGGAGGAGATGCACAGGGCACAGTGTGAGGGAGGATGTGGAGTCACGCCCTCTCCAGCACGCCACCCTCCGAGCACCTCCAAGTATTCACCACCGGAAGCTCTCCAGAAACCATCCTTTGGGTTTTGATGGAGGCTTTGCCACCTCGGCAGTGTTGATTAAATCACTGGCCCTTGGTGACTAATTCATCCTGCAGCTCCTCTCCCCTCCCTGGAGGATGGGGAGTGGGGCTCTAAGTTCCAACCCTCTAATCACCCAGTGGGTTCCCTTGGCAACTAGCCCCCATCCTTAGGTTATCTAGGGGCTTTCCAAAAGTCACCTCATTAAATAAACTCAGATGTGGTTGAAAAGGGTTTCTTATGAATAGCAAAAGACATCCATTTCACCCTAGCTCTGAAGCTATTTCAGGAACTGTGGACAAAAACCAAATATAACAAAAAATGCCCATTCCTCTAATCACTTAGGAAATTATAAGGGTTTTAGGAGCTGTGAGCCAGGAACTGTGGGCAAAGATTAAAATATTTATTTTTTTATTATATCACAATATCACATTCCCTTAATGTTAACATCTTATATAACCGTGGTACTTTTGCCAAAACTAAGCAATTACCATTGGTACAATACTATTAAGCAAACTACAGACTTTACTGAGATTTCACCAGTTTTTTCATTGATGCCCTTTTTCTGTTCCAGGGTCTGATCCAGGGCCTGCCTTGCATTTAGTCCCAGTTCTCCTTATTCTCCTCCTATCTTTGACAGGTCCTCAGTCCTTCCTTGTTTTTCGTGACCTTGGCGGTTCTCAAGACTCCTGGCCACGTATTTTATAGCCCGTCCCTCAGTTTAGGTTTGTCTAATGTGTTCTCATGATTGGCCTGGGATGATGGCTTTGGGGGAAGAGTACCGCAAAGCCGTGCTGCTCTCTTAGCACACCGCATCGGGGCGCCTGCCCTGCACCTTGATCACCTGGGTCAGGTGTGTCGGCCAGGCTTCTCCACTGTGCTTAGTATTCCCCGTTCCAGCCCCTCTGGACCTGAGCTCCAAGCCCAGTCCACAGTGAAGGGTCGGACTTAAGCTCCACCTCCTGGAAGGGGAAGTGTTTCCTCTTTAGAATTCTAATTAAGGACGCCTTGTCCCTTCCCCCTATTTATTTATGTATTAAATTGTTTATATCAGCGTGGACTCATGGATATGTATTTTATTCTTTAGGTTATAATCCTAACAACTTTCTCTGAAGGTGCCTGCAGCTCTGTGCAGCAGCGTCCTCTGTAACCGACATTTCTCACTTTAAGCCTCGGCTGCTCAGGGCAGAGGGAGGCAGGGGCATTGGCCCTGGACCAGCTGGTCAGCAGCTGTGAGGCCTTGGGCTGCTCACTTCAGGCCCTGAGCCTCAGTCTCCCGGAGGCAGAGCGGGGGTGATGGTGCCACTTGGAAGGGAGATTGTTGGGTGACGGTACTGGAGGTGTGGGCTGATGTCATAGGATTTTTGTTCCTGGCTCAGACCAATGACATGGCTCTGGGCAGGTCGATTTAGTGCTGGACATGGTCCAGAGGGCCAGAGGGATGGCGGCTTCTCCCTCCCCCCACCCCCTTCTCTCTTTCTCTCTCTCTTTCTCTTCTGCACAACAGGTCTCTGGGTCACTCCTTTTCCCTGTCAGCTTCTACTGTGTCTATAAATTTGAAACCAGGATTTTAATGTAGTTAATTTTATTCTTTTTTTTCCGTTCTAGTTGTTTATATTAATCTTTGTTTTCTTGTATGACATTATGTCGTGTAGGAATGGGGACCTTTTTTTCTGAGTATTGTACTAATAGGGAAAATTACCGTCTGTGTAAATGTATCTTATTTTTTAAATGTTAAGTATTTTCCCATTGTAAAATTAATTCATGCTTGTTACAGTTTGGGGAACATAACAGAAAATTAGATGAAAAAATAGTAGAAAATTAGTGAAAAATGAAATCCCTCATTCCCACCAGTGCTAACTAACATTTTGGTAAATTACTTCTTACTTGGCTTGTGTGCATTTTTATGTAATTCTTTGAAAACAGAGTAAAAAGCACCACTTTTAAAATTAAGAATGGGGGCCGGCCTGGTGGTGTAGGGGTTAAGTTCACACGTTTACTGCTTCTCGGTGGTCTGGGGTCACCGGTTTGGATCACGGGTATGGACATGGCACCCGCTTGGCAAAAGCCATGCTGTGGCAGGCGTCCCACGTATAAAGTAGAGGAAGATGGGCATGGATGTTAGCTCAGGGCCGGTCTTCCTCAGCAAAAAGAGGAGGATTGGCAGATGTTAGCTAAGGGCTGATTTTCCAAAAAAAAAAATAATGATAAAATTAAGAATGGATAAAATAAAGTCAGTAAATACATGACAAATGTGACTGGGGTGGAGAAGAAATCGAAGGAAAGATAAGTGGGCTGAGAGAGAGAGAGAGAGAGACGCGGGACAGGGACCAAAGTGGTCTTTCTTGGAAAAATGCATAGTTGTTTAGCCTGGAAAAGATCATTTTTGCTCAGTGTGTCCATTGGACTTCCTAATTAATGCTTTTTGTAAACCAAATACAAATACTTTAAAGTCTTCCTATATCCTTTTTTCTTATCTTGGAAAAATGATATCATGCATTTAATTTTCCTGGAAAGTGGTTAATTTTAAGGAGCAACACCTCCATCTTGTGGCCTTCTAGAATACTGTTGCCGAAGATTTTTTATTATTATTATTGAGTTCATAATAGTTTACATCAATGTGAGATTTCAGTCGTACATTATTTCTTGACTGTCACCACATAAGTGCTCCCCTTCAGCCCCTGTGCCCACCCCCTATTCTCCTTCTTCTGGTAACCACTGAACTGTTTTCTTTGTCCATGTGCTTGTTTGTATTCCACATATGAGTGAAATCATCTGGTGTTTGTCTTTCTCAGTCTGGCTTATTTCGCTAAGCATAATTCCCTCCAGGTCCTTCCATGTTGTTGCAAATGGGATGATTTTGTCTTTTTTCTGGCTGAGTAGTATTCCATCGTATATATAAACCACATCTTCTTTACCCAGTCATCGGTGATGGGCGCTTGGATTGCTCCCATGTCTTGGCTATTGTGAATAGTCCTGCAATGAACATAGGGGTACATATGTTACTTTGGATTGTTGATTTCAAGTTGTTTGGGTACTCTTGGCTAAGATGTAAGTTGCCTTTTCCACAAGTACAAGTGTGAATTAAATTGTGCTCTGGCACTTGACAGGGGTCGTTACATCTGTCTCTAGGCTGGTGCATTCCGCCCTGTAAACGGAAAGGAAACAGGAAATACAATTATTTGAAAGCTTTGCTTGTAGCTATGAAAAAAACATGTGGAGAAAACAATAATGCAGAAACGGAAGCAGTTTGTGACAAGATGGGGGGATTATGGAGAGTCACTGTTATTGTTACCTTTAACTTAGTCTATATAACTTTTTTCAATTAAATAATGCAGAATTTTAAAATAACCTCAACACAATCTACCTCATCACTTCCCTTGGATAGAAAACTAAATCCAGACAAATTAAGTGTCTCCCCCGCAGTGTGGAGGAGTGTGTACTGGGCAGGAATGTGTTTCCAAACTGGCAGCTCTTGGATAAAAGTGGTTTCTACAAGAATTAAGAAAAACCTTTTTTTTTAAACATTTGGATGATAATCTAAAGAAAAGAAACCATATAATCATATTCTGGAGCCCCTGGCTGACCAGCAGAGCTGTTGGACCTGCAGTGGCCTTTGTGCTAAGAGGCAGCTGGTGGGAGGCCCCCAGCCGAGCAGAGCCCCTGGTCCTGTGTGCGCCGCGCTCCTGGCTGCTCCTGCCTCCAGGAACGCGCTTGTGTTCCGAATGTGTATGGAAGTTTGGAACCAAGACGGAGAGATGCCACAAGCCGTGATTTGTTGAGCACTTACTGTCTTCTAGGCTGTTATGAGCTGCACTGTGTCCCCCCAGATTCCTCTGTCCTAACCCTCAGAATAGGACTGTATTGGAGATGGGGGCTTTAAAGAGGTGGTTCAGTTAAAATGAGGCCGTTAGGGTGGGCCCTCATCCAGTCTGACGGGAGTCCTTGTAAGAAGACGTGAGGATGCCCGCTCAGGGAAGACTGTGTGAGGACACAGGGAGAAGGAAGCAGTGAGAACCACAGTGCTGGGTGGAGAGACAGTTCCAGGGGCACACGGGGTCATTGGGCCTCGCTGCCGCCTGGGTTCTGGACGGGGCAGCAGGATGTCTTCTGAGGTGGCAGTCTTGTTTCTGGGCTCTTACTGGGAGGTGGGAAGGACCCCACTATCCGCCACCACCCCCTCCCCCAAAAAGACAAAAAAGCCGCCCCACACTGATGCCCCAGGGCCCTGGTGTCCCTGCCAGCCTGGCCCTGCCATTGGCCCCGTAATTGGTCCTGTCTGCTTCTCCAGGCCTGGAGCCAGGGAGCCCTCAGTGACCACGGGTTCTCGGGACGCCTCCACAGCCCTGTTCCCACTCAGCTGAGGCAGCACCGGGACCAGCGCAGGCACCAGGCCGCTGCCCTCGTGGGGTCCTGGCAGCTCCTGAGGGCTGGGGTGGGACCTGGTCTACTTGTGAGTCCAGAGAGACCCTCCCCAGGCCTGGCTTCCCCTTGTGCTCTGCAGAGTGCCAGCTGGGCCTGGCGCCTGCTCCCTGGGACCCGGTCTCAGGGGAAAGGGCACTGGGCATTCTGGGAGGGTCAGTGGCCTGAGCTCACATCCCACAGTGCTCGTCTCTGACTGTGGCGCTCAGTGACACCAGTTACTGTTGTCCTGGACCAGGTGCACCAGGTGCCGTGTGGGGCCGGCTCTGGATCCACCTTGACTGGCCTCCCAGCTCCGTGCTCCATGGCTGTGTGGGTGGCCCCGCCGTGCCTCAGCATCCTCACCTGCAACCTGGGGCAATAAGAATGATGAGCTTTCATACTATGGGGCTGAAGGTGAAATGGAAACTCCTGTGCAAACGCTTCACTCCGTGCTCAGCACCTGCAGGCCTCGATTCAGAGTCACTGTTAGCAGCACCTCGGTCCCCTCCACGCCCCTGAGAGCCCTGTGGTTTGCAAGCTTTACATTCAGGAAAGTGAGGTTTGGATGGGGCGGGGGCGTGTCCCCTTGTGGGCCCAGAGAGGAAGTGGCCCAGCAGAGGCCCTGGCCCGGGGGTCTCTGGCTCCCTTCAGGTCCTTCCCCACCTCGCAGCCCCGGCCCCGAGCAGCCCCATGTGCCCTGACCTCCAGCCCGGATCCGTTTTCCTGAGTCCCAGGCCCAGGGCGCCTCCCCTGACGGGATTCTGCCTCTTCCCTTAGGACGGAGCCCCTGGACTCCCAGCTTCCTTGCCAGGGAGGAGGAGGGACATCCGTCTGCTGGGGCCTGAGTGTGGCCTGGGGGACAGGCCATCGGTCCCGGAATGCCCCTGCCTGAGCCCAGCGAGCAGGAGGCTGAGAGCGTGAAGGCCAGCCAGGAGCCATCCCCAGGCACCGATGTCGTCCCCGCAGCTCCCAAGAAGCCCAGGAAGTTCTCCAAACTGGTCCTGCTGACAGCCTCCAAAGACAGTGCCAAGGTGGCCGGGGCCAAGCGTAAAGGGGTGCACTGTATCATGTCCCTGGGGGTGCCCGGCCCCGCCACCCTTGCCAAGGCCCTCCTCAAGATCCACCCCGAGGCTCAGCGAGCCATTGAGGCAGCTCCCCAGGAGCCGGAGCAGAAACGCAGCAAACTGGACACAGGTGAGGCCCCGGTCTCAGCGAGCAGGGCTGGGAGCAAGCTGTCCCTGGGGCCAGAAGTCCCCTGACACAGGGGCAGCCAGGGGACAGACAGGCTAGGCTGGCTCTGGAGAGAGTACATGTGCCATGAACGTTTCTGTGTTCTGTCTACACTGCATCTCGGTGTAAGTTTTGCATGTTGTAGGCCTCTGTGCATGTGTGTTCGTCTGAGGTTCTGTCTGTATTTGCATAGCAGAGTGAGTCTAGCTCCCTTTGTGTGGGTCTTTGTGTGTCTGTGTCCCTGGGTCAATTTCTGTCCCCGTCTGCTCTTATGTATTTATGTGCCTGGGGGGTTTCTGTGTGTAGGTTTCTGTGCCAGAGGCTATTTGAGGCCCCAAGCAGACCCTCTACTGCTTGGTGCCAGGGACATTGGAACATGGATATGTCTTTGGGGGTAGAACCCTGAGGGATGCCCGGGGGAGGGATGCCCAATGTCTAGGAGGGAGATGAAGTGCGGTTTCTTGCTACCTGAAAGTGGGGTCTCCCATGCCCTGAGAAGATGGGGACAATAAAAGCCACAGTGGTTGGCCTGTCTTTGCTGCCTGTGAACAGGTGGCCCCTTGGAGTCAGCCAGGGCACTCAGCCTGGCAGCCAGTCCCAGGAAAGGGACTGGGCTCTTGGCTTCTGTCAGCTGGGCAGTGCAGGGGACCCCACCTCATTAACTGAAACTTAGGGGTGAGTGGCCTGAAGCCGTAGGGTTGCGAGCCCCACGGCCTCCCTCTGGGCTGGACCCCAGAGCACGCGAGATGGCGGATCCTCAGCCACAGGCCTGGAGGTTTCGGGAACTGAGGGACCCCTCAGCCTGCATCACTTGCTGGATGGGAGCTGTACTCAGGGAGTCAGAGGACCCTGTCTCCCCAGAGCCTGAGGCCCCTCTGCAGTGTGCCTGGACCCCCGGTGAGCACTGCCGCCGGCCAGTCATGCCCTAGGTGCCTCCACGTGTCCACTGCTTCTTCCCGCCAGCCCAGGGGGTGGAGGGTGCCATCCGCATCACCTCTGGGGAGGCAGGGCTCCGAGGGGCCACGTCACTGCCCTGAGGTCACCAGCTGGTCACTGCAGAGGGTAGATGGACATCTGGCTCAGAGCCCATCCTTCCCGCTAAGCCCGGTGGGTCGGCCGTCTCCAGGGTCCTTCATCCCGTCAGAGACCTCTGCTTGCTGCTAGGATCTGCCCAGGCTCTGGGGCCACAGTGACCGCACACCACACAGCTCCGTTGTGAGAACTAGAACAAAGCCACCCTTCCTCAGTTGCAGAGGTGGAGAGCAGGGCAAGGGCTACATCTCAGCCCCATGGGCTGCCCTAGGCAGATGCTCTTGGGCAGTCAACAACCCCCTCAACCTGCCACCCCATCTTTACCTCTATACCTGGTGCACAGACTTCTCCACCTCTAGCCCCATACCCGGCCAAGGTGGATAACAGCACTGCCTAGTGCTCAACCCAGGTCTGGCCCAAAGTTTCCTGGAAATGACTTTAATGCCTCTGTGTCCCTGGGCTGGTGGCCTTTGGGAATGTATCTTTAGAGCCTGCAATTACTTCTTTAAGTCAATCAGTGGCGCTCCAGAACATCCCATGGCAGCTGAGAGTTCTAGAGCCCACCCCTCCAGGTGCCCCCCACTCCCTCTTTTCCTCTGACACCACTGTGACCTGCCCCCTTCTCTTCCAGATGGAAAAGAAGCCGGAAGATTGGCAGGGCCGCCTGCCCGCAGTCCCTCACCAGGTGCCAAGGAGCCCACCGTGTGCCCCAGCATGCCCAGCAAGTCCCTGTAACCCTGACCATGGCGGTGGGGCCTTGCTGGGCCAGTGAACTTGGCTGTGACTTCTCCCTGGGACCAGCTGTGACTGGTTTTCACTCTTAACATTGTGTCATTTTTTTCAGATCAAGCATAAGTTTCTTTTGTAAGCAGAAAAAAAAATTCAGGAAAGAGAATAAAGAAGCTGTACACTAGACCCCATCATGGACAGGTTTTAAGAATTCCATGATTCTGGGTCCTTTGAGGCCCAGCCCCAGCCCCATCCCCCAGGGGCCTCTCCACACATACCTGCCCCCATCCAGCCTTTCCCCAGAGCTGCCAGCGGCCTGGGCCCCATCTCTCAGACTCCAGGTGCTCTCTGGGGCCTCTGTCTCCCAGGGCCTCACACCCCGGGGCCCCCTCAGCCTGGAAAGCCAGCTACTGGGCCAGAGACCTGGTGGGGTCTCTGAGGCGTCCTCTTCCTGCTGCCTTGGCCTAAAAGGGGGTGGTGGGACCTCCAGCCCTGAGCCCCCGGGTCACCAATCCCAGCCAGTCCCCAGGATGCTCCTGGCAGCTCCTGCTGGACCCTCTGGAGGCTCACCTCCTCCAGGCAGCCACACAGACTGAGGCACCCCCTCCACAGGGCCCTCCAGTTCATGACAGCCCCGGGTTCTGCTGAGGAGGGGGTGGGCCCCAACACAAGTGTGTGGTGCCCCATCATGTTCCTTCTGGGTGGTTTGGGGGCTGAGGGAGATTTCCTGGGACGAGCCCCTCCCCAGGTCCCCCTGCTGGGGGAGGAGACAGGAAACACACAGTTCCCTTCCTTCAGGGAGGCAGGGCCCCTGAGGTCTGGAGGGGAAAAGCTCCCCTCCTGTGGCTTCCCCAGGGGATCCTCATTCTTTGAAAACTGCCACTGGGTGAGAGGAAATGGATTATATTTTAAATGTGGAGTTTAGAGGCCTTATGTTTTTAAACAACATTTTCCAAATTTAATTAGTACCTATTGACTCCCTCTTAGGGAAGCGGGTCCCTCAGCAGTTTTCTCTCCCGACTCTCTGTTTTGCTGTCATTTTTACAGTGTGATTATTTGTAATATTTATATTCCATAACCATAATTTGAAAAGTTCTTTTGTCTGAATTCTATGTTTAAATAGCTTCCCGCTCTCACCAGGCTTCTCCTTCCCTGAGTTCTGAGTCGTCCTCTCGGGCTGGTTTTGTCAGGTGACAAGGACACCTGAGGAGGTGCTCAGGGTGGACATTTGGTGGTGGAGTGCCACCGAGAGAAGCAGGGGTGAAGAGGAGGAGGTGAGGAGAGGGGCAGCAAGGAGCCACTTCCAGCCACTAGGCCTGGAGTCCTGGCAGTCCCCAATTGACCCCCAGCCCACTGGGTAGCAGGATCGCCAGCGGGTGTCCACTCCCCTGTGCTTTGGTGTGGCCCCACTGGCCCCTCCTGCGCTGCCAGGGAAGCCTCGGGCTGGGGGGGACACTCAGGGGTCCCCAGTAGGGGTCTGGTTGACTTGGTGGCCCCTGGAGTCTGTGTGTGGGTGCAGCAAGGGCACACCTCCCTCCTGGGCCCTGAGTGGCTGGTGGTGCTGGTCATCTGCCTGGCGGGTGGTCAGTACCTTGGGGCGGGAAGCCACTGCCATGTCCAGCTGGGAGCTCGCACACTGAGTGTGGTGGCGTCAGGGTTTTCTTCTTTTTTTGTTTTGAAACATTTCAGACTCACATGGAAGTTGAAGGAGCACTGCGGGAGACACCGCGTAGCCCTCAGCTAGAGTCTCCCTCCTCTCTCTCTCCTGCCACCTTCTTGCCCCTTCACTTCCTGGGGACTTCACTGTCTGGCCAGAGCAGGGTGCCCAGGATCTGGTGGTAAATGGGTCCCAGCCCCGGCCTCCCAGAGCTGGACAGGAAACACGGAAATTCCTGATTGATGCATCCACGAGAACGGGCTGGGGGGTGCCCAGGAGAAGCCCGGGTGCCTCTAGGCATATGACAGGGACCTGACGCAGTGGGGCTCAGGGAGGGCAGCCTGAGGAAGCCCCGTGGAGGAGCTGAAGGGTGAGGAGGGTGGGCCTGGGAGGAGGGAGCCTCGGACCCGGAGAGGGCAGGGCAGGAAGGCCATTGGGCAGGAATGGTGGGCAGAGGCCGGTGGCCCAGGGCCTGGAGGCCAGCATGGGTAGTGAGAGGCTGGGGAAGAACTTATGCAGAGGAGGGATATGGTCAGCATCGTTTTTACCAAACTTTCCCAGTGCCGTGAGGAGAACAGACTGCAGGGGTCCACAGTGGAGCTGCTGTGCCAGTGAGGACACTACTGCAGCCTTGGGTGAGAGGACGGGGAGGGGAGGTGGGAGATGCTAGAAGAAGGCTGAGATGGGCTCGGTGACAGGTGTCTCATTTGGGGGACAGGGTATGAGGGAGAGAAGACTGGCCTGCCCAGCTCGGGGTGACAGTGCCACCCAGCAGGAGGGGAATCCAGGAGGAAAAGGGGACAGGGGAAATCGACCCGTTCTGGTTTCACACAGTTGGCATTTACTGGACCCACGTGTTCCCGTGAAGAAAGTGGTTCCCACAAGTGTTAACGGAGCAGAAAATTCCTCAGAGGTCGCACACAGATGCTGCCTCTGGGTCTCTGCACTCTGTGAGCGGGTGAGTGGAAGCATTAACTATGATGGGGATAAAAAGTAAATAGGATGACTATACATTTCTTTTTTAAAAAAATAACTTTTATTGGTATTTCCTTCAAGCTAGAAAAGGAAATCAAGGTCATTAAAAAGAAAATGCTAGGATCGGCCCGGTGGCACAGCCATTAAGTGCACACGTTCCGCTTTGGTGGCCCAGGGTTTGCCGATTCAGATCCTGGGTGGGACATGGCACTGCTTGTCAAGCCATGCTGTGGCAGGCGTCCCACATAGAAAGTAGTGGAAGATGGGTACTGATGTTAGCTCAGGGCTGGTCTTCCTCAGCAAAAAGAGGAGGATTGGCAGCAGATGTTAGCTCAGGGCTAATTTTCCTCAAAAAAAAAAAAAATAGAAAATACTGATTATGAAAAGATATCATAGATCACTCCAGTAATTTCACCATCTACAGACAAGTCCATGATACATATTTTTTATATTCAGAAAACTGGGATGATACAGCTCATATTTTTTCTTGACATAACAAATGTCTCTCCGACATCCGTTTTACTGGCTGCATAATGTACCTCTATGCGGATGGGTGATCGTTTGTCCAGCACTTCTGATGGTTGGACGTATCCCAGCTGTTTCCAGGTTGTTAATCCTTGAAATGACCTCGTGTTTTCTGAGGACAAAACTCTAGAAGTGAGCTCTGCTCAAAGGCCTGCAGCAACTGTCCGTGTCCCCCGTCCCCCGTCTGTCCGTCCGTCGTCCCTCACCCCCACCTCCCCGGCACGGCCTGTGAATGCCGGGCTCTCGGGCATCCTTGCCAACACCCGGTACTATCATTAAAAGAGAAAATAATAATAATGGCACCCTCCACTTCGCTAGTGTGAGCACAACCTCCGCGTGTTTTCTCCTGGGGTTGCACTTTTCCTGGTGAGCTTGGAGACCCCAGGTACCTGCCTCCCACCCGCCCCCCCACCAGCGGCGACCGCGGCTGGCCGATGCTCCTGGCGGCCAGGAGGGGGCGCGCGCGGAGTCCGCGGCGTCGGGATGCCTCCCCGATGCCCCCGCGGTGACCCGTCTCAGGGTGTCCTGCGCTGCGGACCCAGGACGCCCATCTAGGCCCTTTAAGGACAAGGCACCGGCTCTAAGGTGCCCCCTGCAGGGGTGAGGGCGGGCGATTGGGCGAGGGAAGGGTCCTCAGTAATAACCCGCCGACGGCCAGCTCCGCGGAGATGCGAGGGAGATCCTTACTCTTCGCCATCCTGACACGAGCTCCGACGCGTGCGGCAGCCCCTCCTCCGCCCTGTCTTGTTTCCCCACAGCATGTACCAGCTTCTGATAGATCACGGGACTCATTGTTTACGCCTATCGCTTCTCGCGCCCCCGCCCCAACTTGAGCTCAGCAACACCAGGGCAGAGGTGTTTGTCGGTTTGCGTCCCAGTGTGGAGAACAGGGAGGGGGAGCGGGAGGAGAGGTGAGGGGTGTGGAGGGGATACAGGACGAAGAGGGCAGAGATGCGGGGACGCCCGTCGAGCGCGGAGGAGTCAGAGGCTGGCTGAGCATAGCTGTGAGAGGAAGACGCCGGGGATGGGAAAGGAAGGGCTTCGACAGAGGATGTGGAGGGTGCAGGAAATGGCCGAGGCCCAGGGCAGGCGCGCCCCATGGGACCTGGACGTGGAGCTGCCCAGAGCCCCGGGGGCACTTCCAGCAGCAGCTCTAGAGCGAGTGGAGGAAGGCGGAGGGCAGGGGGTGTAGGGGGAGCGTGGAGTTTTCTAGAGAGGAGCAGCATCTTCACTGTGCAAACGCTGAGGACGCGCAGCCGAGGGCTGGGGGCTCCGGCCCGGCGAAGTGGAGCCGGCAGAGGGAGGGGACCCAGCCGGGCTAGGGGCGGGGCTCGCGGTGAGCAGAGGGCCTGGGGCGCGGAGTGGCAGGGGAGGCGGGGCTTCCCCGAGTCTGGGGCCGCTGAGGGGCCAGCTCGGATGATACTGGGGCCTCTCCAGCCGCCACCTGCCAACTGTTCCAGGAAACAGCGCCCTGGCCCGCAGCTCCCCGCGCCGGAGCAATCTTGGTTCCCATCGCACAGGGTGGAGAGAGGATGACAGGTGTTCAGAGGCTGTGAGCTGTGAGTAGCGGCTGGACCAATGGGCGAGGGGGGGACCAGTGGGCGAGGGCTGGACAATGGGTGAGGGCTGGACCAATAAGAAAAAGACGCTCCCCCCCATGACAAAGGGTGAGCAGATTGTTTTGTTTGTCTGACTTTTGATTTTAACATAATTTCACACCTACAGAAAAGTTGCCAGAACTACAAAGCATTGCCATATACTCTTCACCCAGATTCCCCAATTGTCAGGAATGAAGCCAGCAACAGCAGTAATATTTATAACAACAGAATTTAGAAACAGTGTCCAATAGGAAAATAACTAAGTTATGTAGCTAGTCATATGTAAAATAAGCTTATAATATAGAGGGATGTTTACAGTATAGAGTTAGGTGGGAAAAGCAGGGATACATGGAAATATTGCTATGGAGTGTGTTCTTAATGATGTAAAATTTAAAATAGAGATTCATTTTTGAAAAGATTGACAAGAAAGATGACAACTGGAAATTCAAGGGACCCAGAACAGCCAAAACCATCCTGAAAATGAACAAAGTTGGAGAACACACACTCTCTGATTTCAAAACTTACTACAAAGCAACTGCAATCAAGACAGTGTGGTCCTGGCATAGGCATATTCATAGACGGATGGAATAGAACTGAGATTCCAGAAATAAACCCTGACTATGATGGTCAATTACTTTTCGACACAGTGCCAAATAATTAAATGGGGGAAAGAATAGTCTTTTCAACAAAAGGTGCTGGGACAACTAGCATATCCACATGCAGCAGAGTGAAGCTGGAGCCCTACTTCACACCATATACAAAAAATAACTCAAAATGGGTGTAACACTCAAATGTAAGAGTGTGACTGTGAAACTCTTAGAATTCGTAGGGGTAAATCTTCGTGAACTTGGATTAGGCAGTGAGTTCTTAGATATGACATCACAAGTATAAGGAACAAAAGAATAAAACAGGGGCCAGCCCTGTGGCCGAGTGGTTAAGTTCACGTGCTCTGCTTCGGCGGCCCAGGGTTTCGCTGGTTTGAATCCTGGGCGCGGACATGGCACTGCTCAACAGGCCATGCTGAGGTGGCTTCCCACATGCCACAACTACAAGGACCCACAACTAAAAGTACACAACTATGTACTGGGGAGCTTTGGGAGAACAAGGAAAAGTAAAAAAAAAAAAAAGGGGGGGGGAAGAAAAAAACAGATAAATTGTGTATCATTAAAATTAAGAACTTTTATGCTTCAAAGGACACCATTTCAACCAGGGGCAATAAAGTGAAAAGACAACCCACAGAATAAGGGAAAGTTTTTGCAGATCATATATCTAATAAAGGACTTATAGCTGGAATATATAAAGAACTTTTATGCTCAACAATAAAATGACAACCCAATTTTAAAATGGGCAAACGATCTGACTAGACATTTCTCCAAAGAAGATTTACAAATGGCAAATAAGCACAAGAGAAAAGGCTCAACATCATTAGTCATCGGGGAAATGCAAATCAAAACCACAATGAAATGCCACTTCATATCCACTAGCAAGGCTCTAATCAGAAAGACAGATAAAAAACAAGTGTTGATAAAGACGTGGAGAAATTGGAACCCTCACACACTGCTGGGGGCCTGTAAAATGGAGCAGACCCTGTGGAAAGCAGTCTGGCAGTTCCTCAAATGGCTAAACATAGAGTTACCATACGACCTAGCAATTCCACTCCTAGGTGTATACTGCAAAGAATTGAAAACATATGTCCACACAGAAATTTATACGTAAATGTTCATAGCAGAATTATTCACTCATCATTCAGTAGCCAAAAAGTGGAAATAACCCAATTGGTCATCAATAGATATATATAGATAAACAAATTGTGGTATATCCATACACTGCAGTATTATTTGGCCATAAAAAGGAAGGTACTTCTACCTGCTATAACATGGACGAACTTTGAAAACCCTATGCAAAGTGAAAGAAGCCAGACACAAAAGACCACCTATTGTATGATTCCATTTATATGAAATATCCACAATAGGCAAATCCATAGAGACCGAAAGTAGATTAATAGTTGATTGGGGAGGGGGTACTTGGGAGTGGTGGCTAAAGGTTTCTTTTCGGAGTGGTGAAAATGTTCTAAAACTGATTGTGATGATGTTTGCACATCTCTGTGAATGTACCAAAACCCATTGAATTGTACACTTTAAATAGGTGAGTTATGTGATACTTTAATTATACCTCAATAAAGCTGATACCAAAAAGAACAATAATAAACCCTTTATGTGTTAACATATTTTTATGAAAAGTTACTACGTTTTCCAAAACAAAGAAATTTCATGAGAAGAGTGGCATCGTTTTACATTCTTGCAAATCTTTTTAATGTGTACTTAATGGAAGACTACAGGTTCTCATATAGGCTTCAGCATTCAGCCTGTTACAACATCACACGTCATGTAGCCTTTGGAATATTCCACAGGGACCTCCAGGAACCCCCAGACTATACTGTGAGAACCATTTCTCTGCTGTAAATTCCTATTTTCCCCTTTGTAATTAATAAGTATGTTCTGGGGAGATACTGTGGGATTATGTAAATAGTAGTTCCTTATTAAAACTTTCACCCTCCCGTTTTAGCGGCCATTGATGATTTTTGCCTGAGTCAGTCGCCAAATGGTGATTTTCTGCATCATTCCTTCTGCAATTTTTAGTTGGCTTTGCACTGGAAGTAAGAGCTGTCCCTTCTCCCCATTTACTTACTTACATAAGTATGGACTCATGGATTCTGCTTTATTCAAAGTTGTAATCCGTTATTACCATTATTTATTTTGAACCTCTAATTGGCTCAGCTTTGGGGTGGGATCATCTGAAGGTTTCAATGAACTGCATAAGAAATTTTCTTCTGCTGGCTAAGGAAACTGACGGGCCTAAAAATGCGTTTAAACAAACGCTCCCGCTCAGTAAGCGCGAAGGCAAATCCTGGGGGAGACCTGGGGGGTCTCAATTAACCGCCCCCCATCCCTCACAAGTCTGAGCGCGCCCCCACTCAGGACCATCTCTCAAAGCAGCAGGTCCGCCCGACGCTCCGCCCCCCGGACGCCGCCGTCCAATCCTGGGCTTTCCCCTCCTCTTTCGTGAGTCCTGGCCCCGCCTCCCAGCACCGATTGGTCAGGCTGCCAGCTCGGCGCCGCTCAGAGAAGATCTGGAGAAGCGGATTTCGTCCGAGGAATGGGCCCCTGCGGCCCTGCTGCGCATGCTCTCCAGGAGCCCGCTCGGGCGTTCCAAGAGGCCGGCTCCTCGCCGCCCCGCGGGGTGGCGCGCGCTCCCGACGGCCGGCGCGGCGCGCGCGGGCACGGGGCTCGCTCCCGCGAGGGCAGGTGGGAGCCGGGAGCGGGCGCCCGGGTTGTGGTGGCCGAGGGGCCTGGGCGCGAGGTCTACGCCTGTGGCTGCAGGGGCCGAGGCCAAAGGACCTGCCGCGGTTTCGTCGTCGGAGAGGGAGGGTCCCGCTGCCGTCGCCGCCCGGCCGGTGCCGGTGAGGACGGGCCCCAAGCGGGTTGGGGAGGGTCCCGGGTCCCACTGCGTGGCCGCGCCCCGACCGTAATCTCCCGGGGTCTCAAGGGATGCTGATGTGATGCTGAAGGGGGGGGGTCCCCTGGCTCTGCGTCCCGGCGCTCGGGCCGCCCCCTTGTCCTTCACCCGCGATTCGCCCCCTTTCTCCTCGCTCTTCCCCTCAACCCACCCGACCCTGGGACTGAGCCTTGACACCCTACATCAGGGAGCCCCACAGTCGGTCGCCTCTCCTGGCCGAGTGTACCCCACCCAGTTCTGCGCCCGCCCTGGCACCGCCCCCAGCCCCGTCCCATGTTTGCGGCTCTGGAGGTCCCCGTGACCTTGCACTTTTGGCTGTCCTTACACCCCTCCTTCCACCTCTGATTAGGCAGATTGCCCGTTGCAGCTTTCAAACTTTTTTGACTCAACCTACACTGAGAAATGTATTTTACGTGCGTACTGCGTGCCTGCAGATGTAGATTACTGACAGACAAGTTTAAAGGAAGGTGCTTACCCTACCTCACATGAGCGGCCCCATCTGCTCTACATCTGTCCTGTCTGTTCTGTCCTGTTCTGTTCTGTCCTATTCTGTTCCTTTCTATTCTATTCTGTTCTGTTTTGTTCAGTTCTTTCCATTCTAAAAGACTATTGCTAAGCCATTAAATGGATTTCGGGACCCAAGGAAACCCTTGCTTTAACCACAGTCTTCTGCTTCCTAACTCCTTGCCGTTGGAGGATGCTGAGCTCCAAGAATCAGATAATCACGTGTAACCTTCAATTCCCAAGAAAGTGTATATTTTTCTTATTTTGACGTTTCTCCTTTTCAGGGCTAAAATCATTTCCAGGACTTGATTTGAACTTTCTGGTTTGATTTGATCTGGTTTATCTTGTTTCTCTTCCAAAAGCTCCTTGTTGGACTTGGGGAAGAGCTAGTGTGTGAGGTTGGGACTGGATTGTGGAGCATTTATAACAGAAATGGAGATGATTTTTATTGGAGAGAAAGAATTGAGTTGAGCTTTAGGAAGATTAACCTGTCAGCACTGTGTAGGGAGAACTGGAATGGCCAGACGCTGGCTGGGAAGACCATTAAGGAGATGGTGGAAGTTGATGCCCTGGGGTGACGTGGAGTGGGAAGGCGTGGAAGATGGCCTGATCTAGAGAGAACGAGATTTGAGGACGTATTAGGCCTGGTTAGGGAGGAGTAAAATATAGGTAAGATTCTGATCTCGGGGGAGTGAGGCCGGGAGTACCGTTAGCTGGAATCTCCCTTTCTGTTCCCTCTGCATCTCTAAATTGCTTTGGAGCAGTGGTTCTCAGGGGACATTCAGCAATGTTGGTTCTCAAGACTTGGGGGGTGCTACTGGCATCCTGCAGGCAGAATGAGGGATGCTGCTAAACATCCTCCATCACGCAGGACAGCCCCCCACAGCAAAGACTTATCTGGTCCAAAATGCCAATGGTGTTGAGAAGCCCTGCTTTAGAACAGCGGTTCCTAATCTTTGAGGGGATCACTGCCGCCCTCGCCTCTCCCGGGAGTAACGCCTGTGGGCATGCTCGGAGACTCTGCTCGTAATCACGGGAGGGTTCAGAGCCAATTAACCCACCTCTCTGACCCTGTAGCTCCTTAGTGGGGGAGAGGAGAAAAGCAAATGGAATCATCCAGGAGCTTTTTCAAACATCAGGACCTTCTCGCCTCCCCCGTCCACTATTTTAGGACCCCTGTTGACCCTGGACTGGGAACTCCTGTTCTTGTGTGATGACTTACAATTTATAGGAGAATTTCACACATACTATCTCATTTGCCACTTTGCCTGTTCACAGGTGAAATCAGCCTGGAGAAGGGATGGGATTGACCCCGGGTCTCCCCACAGCAAGCCGGCGCTGAGGACCCGGGTGTTGGTGGTCGGTGATGGTGGCTCCCGCTCTCGTGTATGAAGGTAATTCTGTTGATCTGCCATCAGCTGCTTAGCCAGGCTGTGCCTCTCAGGGCCTTACCTGCTAGGGCTTGGATCCAGCAGTGTCTGAGAGGCACCCAACGGTTCTTAATCCCATGTGTCTCTTGAGCGTTGTGTTTACGCTGAGCTGTTTGTGACCACTGGCAGGACAGCAGCATCAGAGCAGGCGATCTGAGTATTGCACTCACATTGCTTTGTGCCTCAATGTGGGGGGAGGGGAGAGGCTGAGAGAGTGATGAGCCGTTAACCGTGAGGCTCTTGAACTTCCTATTTCCAGCCGCCCGACATAAAACACTCCATTCACTCCAGAAATCTTTACTGAGCAAAAATTGTATATTATGAAATAAGCACCATAGGGCCCAAGTATTTGCCTTCAAACAATGACTATCCAAAATAAAAAGTACATTTAAATCCACCTAGAATCAATATACCTATATATAACAAATAAAAGGTTCATAAAATAATGCTCATTTTTATTACATGCCATGCAGAGTGATATTTTCTCTGTGATTTTAAAAATTGCTGTCTTTGAGGCTGGCCTGGTGGCGCAGCGGTTAAGTGCACATGTTCCACTTCGGCCGCCTGGATTCACTGGTTCGGATCTCAGGTGCGGACATGGCACCGCTCCGCAAGCCATGCTGTGGTAGGCATCCCACATATAAAGTAGAGGAAGATGGGCACGGATGTTAGCTCAGGGCCAGTCTTCCTCAGAAAATAGAGGAGGATTGGCAGCAGATGTTAGCTCAGGGCTAATCTGCCTCAAAAAGACAAAAATTAAAATTAAAAAAAAATAAAAAATAAAAATTACTATCTGGAACCCAAAGATTATCAGACCAATCACCAGGGCAATTTGAAAAACAGCCTTAGACCAAAACAAAGGGAATAAAACTCTTTTATACAGATATAAAATGAACATGTGTGAAAGATTTTACATAACTCAGTATTAATCAAGGAACCAGTAAGATCCTACAACCAGTTCACAAGAGGATACAAAGAAGATTCTAGAAGACTATAGATGAGGAATGTTGAAATGAATGTACAAATAGAGGCAAAACTGGCTTCTTCCGCAGTGGGAAGAGTTACTTACATGTCTATATCTATTTACATGGGGGAGAGAGAATTTGTGGTCTATAGACTAGAGTTATTTTGCATTGTTCTCAGTTACCTACAAGGTTCAGAGTTGTAAAAATTGCTCAATACAACAAAGGCTAGAATCAGACAGGTTGGAGGGTGTTCTAGAAAATGCATAGTTTTCCATCGAAGCACAGATTTTCCCTCTGGTCTCATAATCTCAGTGGAAGACATTTTTGACACGAAATAAGGCTGGTCTTATGAGATTTGGCCTGATTATTTGCACATGTGCAACAAGTGGGTTAATTCACCATCTAGGGCTTCTCGAGTTTGCTTTGCTGGAAGTCTCCATAAGGAATCTCAGATGGGATCTTTACAAGTCTGGTATTTGCTATCCTGAGGTACAGAAGCCGTGCCCAAGAAGCCCTTCCCCCAGATTTCACCTCCACCGCTTATAAATTTGGGCAGATTCCTCTCTTCTTGAGGTTCCCAAATTACCCCAAGGTGTCTGAAACTTGTTAAATTGTTAAAGGATCATTTCAAAAACAGTGAACTCATGACTCTCCCACTGATATAAAACAAACAGAGGTAAGTGATTTTATTTAACACATTGATGAGGGAAGCTGGACAATGTGCCGGATTCAATGAGGTAATGTATGTCGAACATTTCACGGGGTGGCCAGCACAGGGGAAACCGCGGGTCCTTCCTAAGGTAGCCACGTAGCTGTGGGCCACCTATTTCTCAAGGCCTCTATGCCAGTGTTCCTCAAAGGCAAGCCCATGGTCCACCAGTCCCAGAGCCTCACAGGGTCCTTGTTAAAAATCCAGATTCTCAAGTCCCTCTCCAGATCCTGGGTCAGAATTTTGGATGTGAAATTCAGGCATCCGCATTTTTATCAAGTGCCCCAGGTAATTCTTATGGAGACTAGAATCACACATACAAGTACCTGACATAAAAGTTTCCCGAAAACTGTACTTTACCTCATTAGGTGGACGCACCCTTTCTAGTCTCTTTCATCTTTTTAAAGACTGGTCTGAAGCTGGGTTTCTCAGCCTTTGCACTGTTGGCATTTTAGACCAGATCCTTCTTTGGGGTGCGGTGGGTGGGGAAGCTGCCCTGGGCACTGTGGGGTGTCGAGCAGCATCTGAGGCCCCACTAGATGCTGGTAGCATGCCCCACCCCACAGTTGTAACAACCAAAAATGTCCCCAGATATTGCCAAATGTCACCTGGGGCGGGGGCAGATGACCCTGATTGAGAACCACAGTCTTAACCCACTGCCTTGATACCTCGGCATCCTCAATTTGAAAAGAAGCATTTTAACTTGTTTTAAGAGTTTAGGCCCTAGAGGCAGACGTGGGAGGTTGGAATGCTGACTCCATCCTTGATGGGCCTGGCTTTGGTCACAGGAACCTAAAGTGAAGCCTTCTGTTCCTCCTCTGCAAGATGAAAGAACAGTAGAGTCTAACTGATCCTCGGTGATTTGGAAAATAACGCACACAAAGTCCTTAGCATCGTGCCAGGCCCGTGGTTGGCATTTGGTAAATATTAAATGTTGTGATGACAGTCCTTCAGATTCTTGAAGGATGTATTGGTCAGAATCCAAGAGGGAAAACAGACACGACTGTCAGATTTCAAGTGGGGATTTCATTGCTCTGCCTGGTAGTGGAAGAGGCAAGAAGCCAAACTTGGTGAACAGACCAGAGATGAGTGGTGGCTAGAAGCTGTGCCCACAGCCAGGCAGGGGGTCCAGGGCAGCAGAGGGGCCCCTGCAAAGCTGGAGCACACTGCAGTGGCGGAGGCAGGTAGCTGCGCACACACCCTCCTCACTCCGCCCTCCAGGATCCCCCTGTGCCTCCCATCAGCCAAATCAGTGGGCAGCGATGATGATCAGCCATGAAACAGCTGGTTTGTAGGGACGCCTCAGTGCGCTGACTACTTACTCTGAAGGCGCCTGCAGCTCTGTGCACCAGTATCCTCTCTGACTGGCGTTTCTGTCTTTAAGCCTCAGCTGCTGAGGGCACAGGGAGGTGCATTGGCCCTGGACCACCGGGGCCTGGGTCCGAGTCCAGACTCTCACCAGCTGTGCAGTCCTGCACCGCTCACTTCAGGCTCCAAGCCTCAGTTTCCCCAGAGGCAGAGTGGGGATGATGGTGTCACTTGCAAGAGAGATTGTTTGGGTGATGGTACTGGAGGTGTGGGCTGATGTCATAGGATTTTTGTTCCTGGCTCAGACCAACAACGTGGCTCCGGGGGGGCCCTGGGGGGGGGCTTCTCTCTTTCTCACCCTTCTACCCAGAAGGTCTCTGGGTCACTTATTATATCTGAAACTTCCATTGTGTCTATAAATTTGAAATTTGGGTTTTCAAAAACCTTTTATTTTGAGTTAATTTTAGACTTTTTAAAAAATTTTTATTATTTCCTTTTTCTCCCCAAAGCCCCCCCGGTACATAGTTGTATGTCTTTAGTTATGGGTTCTTCTAGTTGTGGCATGTGGGACACTGTCTCAGCATGGCTTGACAAGCAGTGCTATGTCCGTGCCCAGGATTCAAACTGGCAAAACCCTGGGCTGCCACAGCGGAGCACACAAACTTAACCACTCCGCCACTGGGCTGGCCACACTTAATTTTAGACTTTTAAAAAATTACAGGGGCCAGCCCTGTGGCCTGGTGGTTGGGTTTGTGTGCTCCACTTCAGCGGCCTAGATTTGCAGGTTTGGATCCCGGGCAAGGATCTATGCTGCTAGTCAGCCATGCTGTGGTGGCGGCCCACATACAAAATAAAGGAAGATTGGCATGGATGTTATCTCAGGGCTAATCTTCCTCTAGTAAAAAAAAAAAAAAGTGTTAAAAATTACAAAAACAGTACAAAGAATTCCCATATACCCATCCCCCAGTCTCCCTGAATGTCAGCTATCCGTGATCAAAACCAGGAAATCAGCTTTGGTGCAGCGCTATTAACTGAAACTCCTAATCTTATTCAAATGTCACCAGCTCTTCCGCTAGCATCCTTCTCTGTTCTGGGATCCAGTCATCACGTCTCCTTAGGCTCCTCCAGTTGTGACAGGTCCTCCACCTTTCCTTGTCTTTAATGACCTTGACACTTTGGAAGGGTCCTGGTCGGTTGTTTTGTTGACTGTCCCTCCTCGTGGCTCGTCTGGTTGGAATGGGGGTGCGTTGGGCAGGGGTATCACAGAGATGATGCCGTGTTCTTCTCTGTGCATCTCACCGAGGAGGTCAGGGCGTTGGTGTGTCTTACTCCTGGTGAAGTTGACGTTGATCTCTTAGGATCTCAGGGGGTATCTGTGAGATTTCCCTGTCTTTCCCTCTGTAGTTAATAAATGTCTTGGGGGAGATACTTCAAGGCTATGCAAGTCCCACAACAGCGATTTTTAATGTACTTCACTTTTATTCATTTCTGTGTTCTATTGTTTGTTTTACTCTTTATTTTCTCATGTGACACTGTCACATAGGAATGGAATCCCTGCTTTTTCTGAGTTACGGAGTTAAAAAAAAATTACCAAGGAAGAGATACAGCCTATCTTTAAAGCATTTGATATTTTCCCACTGTAAAAAGAGTTCATGTGCATTGTAAACAACTCTGAGAAAATGAAATTTAAGGAAAAAATTAATCACTATTTTTACTACTTTTAACATTTTGAGATATTTCTTAATTATTGAAGGTTTTTTGAAGTCATGAATATAGAAAATAAAATTAGTCAATAAATAACAAAGATGATCAGAGTGGGGAAGAGAGAGAAGAAAAGAAAAGTGGATTGAGGGCTACAGGTAGTGTCTGGTCCAAGTTACGCTTTGGTCTGTTTTTGAAAACCTTGCTTGTTTAGTTTAGAAAAGATAGTCTTTGCTGAATTTGTTAATTGGATTCTGATTTCTGACTAATAAGTTTTGAAAATACAGACGTTTTTGGAAGTCTTCTTGATTTGTTTTTGTGACATGGAAACATTCTCAAATTCTTGTTTTGGAAACGGGTGGTGCATTTAATTAATTTTACCGAGGATGCGCACGTATATTTTGAGGAGCTACATCGCCATCTCGTGGCCTTCTGCGGTATTGCTGCTGAGGATTTCGAAGGTGTTTTCATGACTGTGAGGGGCCTCTGTGTCATAATGCCCCGTCCTTTACAAAGGCTCCATCTTCTCTGCGGGGGGCGGCTTCCCACTCTAAAGTGGAGTGAGATAGCAGATGACATGTTGACCACAGTGTGTGCGCAACAGAAAATAAAGTGTATGTTAAAAGCACTAACACAGGAAAGGAAATAGCTGTGCATTCGAGTGGCAGGGTTATGGGTGATTTACTAGTATCATGTTCTTAATATTTTTTAAATGTTTTCTATATAGTTTTTATAATATAATATTAGCAACCTACAAAATGTCTCAATATCTAATCCGTGCCACCCCTCTCCTCCGATGAGGAAACCCAGCCCAGGAGTGAGAAGCATGTTTACAGTGTGTTTTTAATCCAACTGACCCCGGAGACCTGAGGCATACCTGTAAGGATTTTTAAAAACGGCTTTATTGAGATATGAGTCACTTACATACAGCTCCCCCATCTAAAGTGTATAATTTAATGTTTTTTGTGTATTCACAGAGTTGTGCAACCATCGTACGATCAATTTTACAACATTTTCTTTGCCCCGAAAAGAAACCCCACATCCCTTAGCATCACTCCCTAATCTCCCTCTGCCCCTGGACCCATGCAGCCACTCACCTGCCTTCCATCCCTGTGGATGGGCCTGTTCCGGACATTTCAGAGAAGTGGGCTCACACAGCCTGCTGTCTTTTGTGTTTGGCTTCTTTCAGGGAGCATGTTTTCAAGGTTTGCCCACATTGGAGCATCTAACAGAATGTCCCTCCTTTTTATTGCTGAATAAATCCCATTGTATGGACAGACCACACACAGGCCAGAGCAGGTATTTCAGAGGGAGAACATGGTTTACGGACCGACCCAGCCAGTGCTGATCCTGCATGATAGCCAAAGAGGGAAGGAGGGTCTGCAGAGTTAGGGGCAGCCGCCTGCTAGCCAGCGTGAGAAGGAAGGGGTGAGGGCTCTTCTTGCGAAGTCAAACTGTTGAGGGAAGGAAGTTGCCCTTAGGTTTTGTTTTAGGATGCCTATAGGGAGACCTGTGAACCGTGAGGGTCCAAATGCAAAGAACCAGCTGAGGCAAAGAGGTTTGGCGAGCAGGGTCTGAAGGGGGGAGAAAGGACCCCAAGGGGGAGGGGATGTACCGAGCGGACCGGATGCAGACACTTCATTTTCCAAATCAGGATGGAATATGTCCGCTCTCTGTATCCAGACAGTGAAGAGTGATAAGAGTTATGAGGATGTCCACCCTTGATGGATTAAATGTGAAACAGAGAAAACTTGCACAACTGAATCGTGGAGAGATAACTTCAGTTAATCAGAAATCTGCCGTCGTATGGAGAACTCATTCACCCATGACGCTAGGTAAACGGGGCATTAGCACATACAGTTTGTTACAGGTGTTTTTCTCCTGTGTGGTGAAGTATATGACAAAAACTTACAACACTAATCATTTTTAAGTGTACGGGTCAGTGGCATTAAGTACAGTCCCATTGTTGTACAACCATCGCCTGCATCCATCTTTTCATCATCCAGAACTGAAACTCTGTCCCCATCACACAGCAGCCCCCGCTCCCCCGGCCCCGCCCCAGCAACCACCATCTGACTGCTGTCTCGTGGATTCGACAACTCTGGCTACATCACATAAGTGGAATCACACAGCAGCGTCCTTTTGTGACAGGCTTATTTCATGTGACAGACTTTTAAAATAGTAATCCTCATTTGCTCTCCTTTATATTTAATATTCTCATTCCTCTCGCTGGATTACCAGCCCTTTAAACGTGATGGTCTGAGGGATTGAACCTCTGTGTAGCGTGGCACCTGGAGTTCCGAAGCACTTTGATGTTGGATGTTTCACAACCAATTAGTATTCCTCTATCCATCAGAAAGCCAGAGGCTGGCCCGGTGGAATAGTGGTTAAGTTCACATGCTCCACTTCAGTGGCCTGGGGTTCGCTGGTTCAGATCCTAGGCACGGACACACACCACTCATTACGCCACGCTGTAGCAGCATCCCACATACACAATAGAGCAAGATTGGCACAGATGTTAGCTCAAGGCCAATCTTCCTCAACAAAAAAAGCGGGGGCGGGGGACAGCCTAGTGGTGTAGCAGTTAAGTTTGCATGGTCTGCTTCAGCGGCCTGGGGTTTGCCAGTTCAGATCCCGGGTGTGGATCTATGCACTGCTCATCAAGCTATGCTGTGGCAGGCATCCCACATATAAAACAGAAGAAGATGGGCACAGATGTTAGCTCAGGGCCAATCTCCCTCAAAAAAAAAAAAAAGCCCGAACTCATCAGGTTAGTCACTTGCGAAGAATAGCAGTTACTGCTGTGTAACAAATGACCCTGATCTTACTGGCTTAAAATAATGGTAGTTTATTATTCATCAGGGGTCCATGGGAGGCTGGGCTGTTCCTCTGCTGGTTTCCTTGGGCTTCTTCAGGTGGCTACACACAGCTGAGGGCCCACTGGACTGGACAGTGCCAGTGGTCTTCCTGTGGCCTCTCCTACAGCCACCTTCCCTGGCAGTCACAGGGCCATGTCCCTCAAGGGCCAGGACTTCCAAACCCCACAGCATGCTTCTGCCACGCTCAAGTCACACAGTGAGTGACCAATCAGGGCTGGAGGCCAGTCCAGATTCCAGACTACATTCCAAAGGGGCCTGCTTACTGTGTGGGAGGATTTGTGGTCCTTAAACAATCTACACTCAAGGCGCTTTAATGAGTAAGAATGGGGACCGGCAGTCGAATCCAGATTCTGGGCCGCTGCGGCACCCGCAGTTGGTCGTCAGCCATAGTTCACAGTATCCTTTGAGGTACACGGATCTTGGAAGCCTTTTAAGCAGAAATTTCAGTTGAGAGGATTGCACTGTTTCCTAATTCGGGGTCCCCATGACTTCGGTACAGGTCCACGGCAATGTGGGGGGTTCTTTGTCTTGCCAACCCCCGCTGGTCCAGAGGAGGCCAGGCTTCGGCGTCCGGTCGTCTGAGACGGAGCCCGTTGGTGTGTCACGTCCCTGCAGCCCCCACTCCTGTCCCGCTGCGTGGACAGTGACCGCAGGGCTTTGGGTGGCCTGAGTTGTCTGAAAGGCGAGCTGTGGGACGGAGGGCCGGCTTCTCTGCGCCTTTTCGCCTGGGTGGAGGTCGCGGGGAAGACAGGAGCGCCAGCAGCTACCAGGTGCCAGGAGGCCGCGGTTCGAGCCTCCACGTTCATTCATCCGCAGACTGCAGAACTCTCGGGCCCGAGGGGCGGGCTGCCGGCGGAGGGACGTGCGCCGGGGCCAATCAGCTTGCGGGGCGGGCGGCCTGTGGGCGGGATGGGCAGGCCCGGGACGACTCCCCGCTGCGGGCGGCCCTGCAGGGAGGACTGGTCCCGGTCCCAGGTCCCGCCCCGCCACGTCGCCCTGCGGGCGGGATGGGCAGGCCCGGGAGGGAGCGCACAGGAGGAGCAGGGGCTGGCTTGTCCCGGGACGCGGCGAGGGGGGAGGATAGGGGCGGGAGGACAGGCGGGCACTCCCAGGCAGGTGTCCCTTCCCCGGGCGGGTTTCCTTGAGTCCTGCCCTCAGGACAGGACTTCGCTGCGGCCCTCGGGGCGGCGGTCAGGGCAGGGGCAGGGGACACTGTCTGGACGCGGCGACCCCTGCTCTTCGGCCCTGGCTGCGGCTCCGCGCTGGCTGACCAGGCCATGGGGAGCCGGTGTGGACCCCAGACCAGGAAACTTCAGAGCAAGAATGAGGAACCCCAGGGCAACCGCAGAATTTGGGGTGGAGGTGACAGCTCACAAGTGGGGAATCTGCAGTGTGAGGGGAGGCTACTGTTTCTGGGCTCCTGCTGGGAGGTGGAGAGGAACTGCCATCCTCCACCACCCACTTCCCCAAGAAGACAAAAAGGCCACCCCACACTGATGCCCCAGGGCCCAGTGACCCTGCCAGAGCGGCCGGGCCTTTAGCCCTGTAATCCGTCCTGTCTGCTTCTCCAGGCCTGAAGCCAGGGAGCCCTTAGTGACCACGGGTTCTCGGGACACCTCCACAGCCCTGTCCCCACTCAGCTGAGGCAGCACTGGCACCAGCGCAGGCACCAGGCCGCTGCCCTCGTGGGGTCCTGGCAGCTCCTGAGGGCTGGGATGGGACCTGGTCTACTTGTGAGTCCAGAGAGACCCTCCCCCGGCCTGGCTTCCCCTTGTGCTCTGCAGAGTACCAGCTGGGCCTGGCCCCTGTTCCCTGGGACCCGGTGTCAGGGGAAAGGGCACTGGGCATTCTGGGAGGGTCAGTGGCCTGAGCTCACATCCCACAGTGCTCGTCTCTGACTGTGGCGCTCAGTGACACCAGTTACTGTTGTCCTGGACCAGGTGCGCCAGGTGTCATTGGGGCCGGCTCTGGATCCACCTTGACTGGTGTCCCAGCTCCGTGCTCCATGGCTGTGTGGGTGGCCCCGCCGTGCCTCAGCATCCTCACCTGTAACCTGGGGCAATAAGAATGATGAGCTTTCATACTATGGGGCTGAAGGTGAAATGGAAAATCCTGTGCAAACACTGCACCCCGTGCTCAGCACCTGCGGGCCTCGATTCAGAGTCACTGTTAGCAGCACCTCGGTCCCCTCCACGCCCCTGAGAGCCCTGTGGTTTGCAAGCTTTACATTCAGGAAAGTGAGGTTTGAGTGGGGCAGGGGGGCGTCCCCTCGTGGGCCCAGAGAGGAAGTGGCCCAGCAGAGGCCCTGGCCCGGGGGTCTCTGGCTCCCTTCAGGTCCTTCCCCACCTTGCAGCCCCGGCCCCAAGCAGCCCCATGTGCCCTGACCTCCAGCCCGGATCTGTTTTCCTGAGTCCCAGGCCCAGGGCACCTCCCCTGATGGGATTCTGCCTCTTCCCTTAGGACGGAGCCCCTGGACTCCCAGCTTCCTTGTCAAGGAGGAGGAAGGACATCCATCTGCTGGGGCCTGAGTGTGGCCTGGGGGACAGGCCATCGGTCCCGGAATGCCCCTGCCTGAGCCCAGCGAGCAGGAGGCTGAGAGTGTGAAGGCCGGCCAGGAGCCGTCCCCTGAGTCCCCTGAGCTGGGCACAGATGTCATCCCTGCAGCCCCCACGAAGCCCAAGGAGTTCTCCAAACTGGTCCTGCTGACAGCCTCCACCGAGAATGGGGATGGAGTGGACTCCCAGCCCAAAGGAGTGCCCTGCACCGTGTCCCTGGAAATGTCTGGTGCTGACACCCTGGCCAGGATCCCCCACATCCTGCCATCAGAGGAGCAGGGGGGTGCAGTCCAGCCAAGCCCCCTGGCCTCTGAGCAGAAATGCAGCAAACCAGACACAGGTGAGTTGCGGGCCTGCTGCCCCTGGCCCCACACCTTTATGGTCCTGCATGCTCAGACTTGGGCCTGGCTCACCCCGCTTCCTAGCAGGGTAACCTTGGCCATCCTGTCCCTGTCCTGAGCCTAGCTTCCTCATCTCTAATCACGACCCTGTCCCTTGTTGGTGTGATGATTGCAGGACATCAACCCTGTGTGCCCCCCAGTGCTCCCCTCCACACCCCTGACCTCTAGCCTTGCTCCATGCTGGCTAACCCCGCATCAGCTAAACCCAGCCTCCCGTTGCCCTCAGCAGCCCCCAAGCCCCTGGAGTTCCTGAGGACCCCATTTGGGGGCCGCCTCCTGGTCCTCGAGTCCTTCCTGTACAAGCAGGAGAAGGCCGTGGGCGACAAGGTCTACTGGAAGTGCCGGGAGCATGCCGAGCGGGGCTGCCGGGGCCGGGCCGTCACCCGTGGGTCGCGGGCCACAGTGATGCGGGACCACTGCCACCCACCAGATGAGGAGGGCCTGGAGGCCCGGCGCCAGAGACAGAAGCTGCCCAGCCCAGCCCTTCCGGAAACCTTAGGGGGTCCCCAGGGCCCTGGAAGCCAAGTGGAGGAGCCACTGGAGGGGGTGGGCCCATGGCTGTGCCCCCAGGAGCCAGAGTCTGCCCCGGCACTGCAGCTGAGCAAGCCGGCCCCGGAGGAGGAAGAGGGGCTGCGAGCCCTGTCGCTGCTCAGCCTGCCCCCCAAGAAACGCCCGACACTGGGGACCGGTGAGTGTCCCCACCCTGGCTCCACTCGGGCAGGCAGGAGCCTGCAGGCCCTTTTCTGTGCCCAGATAGAAATGTGGGGTCCCATGTGGTTTTTTAACGTGCTCAAAGTCAGAACAACTTTTAAAAGTATAATCATTAAGCCCATGGACTAGAACCAGTGCTGCTAAACCAGGGGTCCTTCTGGAATTTTCTGATGCAGCAGGGTGGGTGTGGGGCCCAGAAACGTGAGTTTTCACAGGCCCCGTGTGATTCTGGTAACCCCTGAAGATTCTGGTGACCTTTGGGAAGGTCAGCTTAGTGAGAGTCTTGAGTTTCGGGCCCAGGTTCAAGTTCCAGCCCCACCTCACTTTGCTGGGTGGCCTCAGATCAGTAACTGGCCTTCTGGAATTTCTGGAGCTTTATCCTAAGATGAGTGAGAGCCTAGAAGTTTGGGAGACTAGGCATTTGGTGTGTGGGAAGTGCTCGGTGCTGCTCCAGCAGCTGGTAGACAGAGTCTTCGAGGTTTTGATTGCCCGTAACTGGGAGTGGGTCTTGGTCCCGAGGCTGGGGGCCTCCTGACCCAGAAAGGATTCAAAGATTCAATGGTTTAAGGCAGCCGCCCCCCTGGGTACCTGGGGCAGGGCGAGCCAGAGAGAGACTTGTTTTTCACTGTGAATCACTTGGTACCAGTGGCATTTTATGGCATGTGCATGTATTATTCCAACAACAGATAAGGTTTTCAAACAAATCCTAAGAAAAAGTATGGCCAGGAGTGACTGAGCACATGGCTGTGTAGTCAGAGCCAGCTCGGCCCTTCCCGGTGTGTGACCTTGGATGCAGCATTTAACCTCTGAGAGCCGTGGCCTCCTCTCTGACCACCGGCAGAGGAACCGAAACTCCCCCGTGGGTTGCTGGGTGTGGGGTCAGTGGGAATGGACCCGGGGCCCCCACACACCCAGCTCAGGGGAAGCCATGGTAAATGTCACTGGAAAGGAGAACAGGACATGGCCATGCTCCCCTAGCCCACATCCCCCCACACCCCAACCTGCTCCCCTGGGCCGGCTGTGACCACCCTGGATCCCTCCTCCAGGAGAGCCCCGGCCCCTGGAGTTCCTGAGGACATGCTACGGGGGCAGCTTCTTGGTGCACGAGTCCTTCCTCTACAAGCGGGAGAAGGCCGTGGGGGACAAAGTGTACTGGACTTGCCGGGACCACGCGCTGCACAGCTGCCGCAGCCGGGCCATCACCCAGGGCCAGCGGGTGACCGTGATGCGCGGCCACTGTCACCCGCCTGACATGGAGGGCCTGGAGGCCCGGCGGCAGCAGGAGAAAGCCATGGAGACACTGCAGGCTGGGCCGGGAGGTCCCGGGGGCCAAGTGGACAAGCTATTCCAAGGCGTGGACAGCCTGTTGTACCGCAGGGGCCCCGGCAGCCTGACGCTCACCAGGCCGCGGCCAAGGAAGCGTGCCAAGGTCAAAGATCAGGGCCTGGTCCAGCCCCAAGCCTCGCAGGGAGCCCCTGAGGACCAGGATGAGGACCTGGGTGAGTCCTCCACACCCACTGGCCCAGAGCTTGGCCCCTTCAAGGCTGGTTTCCTAAGGTCCTGGGAGGTGGGAGGGGGCCCCTGAAGCCCCAAGTTCCTACCTCCCTCTCCTGAACCCGCTCCGATTTGTCCCCAGGAGGCCCTGAGTTCCTGAGGACCCCGCTGGGGGGCAGCTTCCTGGTACATGAGTCCTTCCTCTACCGGCGGGAGAAGGCAGCCGGGGAGAAGGTGTACTGGACGTGCCGGGACCAGGCCCGCATGGGCTGCCGCAGCCGGGCCATCACCCAGGGCCGGCGGGTGACCGTGATGCGCGGCCACTGCCACCCGCCCGACCTGGGGGGCCTGGAGGCCCTGAGGCAGCGGGAGAAACGCCCAGGCTCAGCCCAGCGGGGCAGCCCAGGTAGGATGATGGCGGAGCAGGCCTCAGGGATGAGCAGGAGATGCAGCCAGCCAGCCTTGCCCACTTGACCTCCCATGTCCCCAGCAGATGCCCTGTCCTTCCTCCCTGCAACACTCTGGAAGGAGTGAGCCCTCTCCTCTCACTCTTTCCTCTCCTCCCTTCCCCTCCTCACCCACCGCATCCTGCATCCTGCCCTCTGTCGGGTGGGGTCCTCACCCTCCCGCTCAGACCGCCCGCCTGCCCCCACGCCTCTGCAGCACTTGCTAGACCAAGCTCCTTCCTCCTGCTCCTTTTCTCGTCATAAGAATTGACAGGATGGACAGAGGAAGCTATTGCACAAGGCCAGTCTCTCGTTTGTATGGTGAGTAGATGACAGTTCCCAGTGACAGGACACCTGACAGACCGGGTGGCGGAGGGTGTATTTTCATGTAATCGATTTCTTTGCCCCTCTAGCTGTTCTCCATAAATATCTATTGTCGTCCCTGAGGGATCCATGACGAGGGGCACAGCCCCACTCTTGTCATCTGTGCCCCCCTGGGAGGTGCCACGGTGCTGGTGTTCTGCTCTCGAGGTCACCATACCGTGAACACTCTCGTCCTGTCCTCCTGAGCAGGGTGGTTTCAGCCCGGCCGTGTCTCCGTCCAGCTCCCCATTTGGTCCGGCACCTGCCTCTCCTTCGGGCCCCAGTCCTGCCGTGTTCTGAGGCCTCTGAGTCTCCCATGCTTGAGGTCTCTGGTTTCGTTTCCTTCTGACTCTCTTTTTATTCATTTCCACATAACTTCTGTGGACAAGGAGGTGTTGCCACAAGACACAGGGCAGCCCCTGCAGGGTCCTCACCCCCAACTCCCACCCAGAGAACCCCTCTGAGCTCCTTCCATTGTTTTTTGGGGAGTCTGCTGCCCCATTTCTTAATATGGGCTTTCACCGCTATCAGTTGGTGTTGTAATTTCCTTGTGGCCTGTGGCCTTCCGGGGAGAGGCAGTAAGGACTCAGCGGTCCCCCGCAGCCCGCTTCTCGCAGGTCCTGCAGGTTTTGTTTTCGTGTTATTGTAAACATCTGCTCACGGCTGAGCTGGGAGTGCGCTGCGGCCTGTTTCCCTCCTTACGCGGCTGTTTTCTCTGCAGCCCGGTGGCTCCTTTGTTTGTGGGCCTCGTGTTCTGTGTGCCCCTCCTGCTCACGTGTCACTTCAGCCCATCAGCAGAAGCTCTGGGTTCCGCTCCAGGCCCCCCAGCCCTGCCACCCCCTGTCCCGGGGGTCCCCTGGGCGGGATGCCTGCTCTGGGCCCCGCTTTCTCTTGCTCGGTTTACTCCCTTGTCTTTCGAAGTCCCTCCTCTAGTCACCTCCCGAGCAAGCGTCCCTGGAGCTCACACTGTCGAGACCCTGTGTGCCTGAAGATGGCTGCCACCTCGCCTCACACGTCATCTAGTCCCTGTTCTTGGGTGGCCCACAGCTTTCCGAGGACCGACCCTAGGCATGTGGTGGCTCTTTGCTTGCAGTTTTTGGGTTGTGTCTCCATCCCTGTGGCACCTGGCTGTGCTGGGGGCACTAGGGGCCTTTTCAGGCCAGAAGCTCGGTCCTTCCCTCTGGGTGGTTTTCTCCTGCTCCTCGATACCCTCCACTCCCAACTCTCTTTCTTTCTGTTGCTCCTGTTTGTCGGATGTCTGTCTGCCTGGGACCACCATCTGTGACATTTCTTCGAGTTTGTCTCCGGTCCTTCTGTTTACTTTGACTTTCACTCTTGTGTCTGAAGATCTCCCGTGTGGTCCGTCATCCAGGGTCACAACTGCCCCGTCTCTCCGGCCTCTGGCCACAGCCTTGTTCCTCTGAGCTGCGATCTCTGCCTTTTAAAGCAAAGCTTCTCCCGCGTGTCCCGTGATCTTGGCCGTCTGCTCCTGTTTAAGGGGAGACTGACGTGCTCTGCACGAGGGCGCGGCCCGGGCGCTGAACTGCAGGAGGCTGCTGTGGCCGATGGCCTCCACCTCGAGACCCCGGACGTCGCCTCTGTGGGTCCGCAGGCTGGTTGGTGCCCACAGGACGGCCTCCCACAGGCGGCTCAGCCTGGCTGCCACAGTCATTCCGGGACTCGGGCAGGGAAGTGGGTGGACATGTCGGTTCCGGATGCAGACTTCCACTATCTCCGCACCGGGCACGGGAGCTCCCGTCTCATTGCTCTTCACACAGATCACCTTTACCCAGCCGGCTGTTTAGGCCTGCCCTGGACCTCACCTTCAGAGGGACCTTGCTGCCCCAGCTCAGCCACTGGCCTGCACTGTGCTCAGTGGCCTCCCCTCTGGGCTGGCGGTTTGCCGAGTGTGACCACACACCCCCTCTTCTCTGCCTCCAACACTCTGTCGGCGCCTCTGTTCTGCTGCCCTCCCCCTCCTTTCCAGATCTCTGGCCTGTGCCCTGTGCCTCCATCCTTTCTCAGTGGACATGTTTATCAGTCACATGGCTCCGCTCCATGGCCAGAGGCCCCTACCTGGCCCCGCTTCTCCAGGGTGCCCTCACCCCCATGGCCTCTGCTGTTCCCCTGTCTATCTCCAGTCCTCTGTGTGATCCTGGTGCCTGGACAAGGGAAGAGAGTCTGGGCAGAAGCACACGGCCACCTCCTGGCGTCCTCCCTCTCCACATGTCCCAGACAGCAGCTACACACTCCTTGCCTTTTCTCCCACCCTGGGTCAAATCCCCGCCCAGTCTGGCTCTCCAGGAGTGGACCCTTGACCCTTCTACAGCCCCATCGCCCACTGTGCGCACAACGCCCATTTCGTTCCTGATAGCTGGTCCCCCAAAGGGACCGTCCACTTATTCCTCCAACTCAGCAGGGACCGCATGGCCCTATGTATCCCCTCCCCCCATTGAGGGCACCTAGGATAAGAGAGGGGACATAGCAAAGACACCTTCTTCTGCAGGCACTGTGAGGTGGGGACAGACCCCTGCCTTCAAGGGCCTCCACCTCACCAGTCTCCCGCCTCCCTTCACTCCCAGGCTTGGGAAAGGAGCCCCCCAGAGCTGAGGCTAGGCTGGGTTTGGGGGTGGGGGTCTGTGTCCTGGGCTCGGGGCTGTCTCGCTATGAGGCAGTGGGTGCAGCGTGGGGGCCTGTGGGTCTCACTCTGGGAGCTGTGCTGCTTTTGGTGCTGAGAATGGGGGCCACACCCCACCTCACAACTCTGCTCCAACGCCAGGGCTCCAGCCTCTGCCTCCCCCAGCCCCTCTCCGATTTGTCCCCAGGAGGCCCTGAGTTCCTGAGGACCCCGCTGGGGGGCAGCTTCCTGGTCTACGAGTCCTTCCTCTACCGGCGGGAGAAGGCGGCGGGGGAGAAGGTGTACTGGACGTGCCGGGACCAGGCCCGCATGGGCTGCCGCAGCCGGGCCATCACCCAGGGCCAGCGGGTGATGGTGATGCGCAGGCACTGCCACCCGCCCGACCTGGGGGGCCTGGAGGCCCTGAGGCAGCGGGAGCAGCTCCCCTGCCCGGCCCAGAGGGAAGGCTCAGGTGCGGGCATAGGGGCTGGCAGGCACTAGGCCCTGCTCTCCCCGCTGGCTTGGCAGCCCTGGGGGCCAGCCCCAGAACACAGGCTGGGGGCTACCTGATGGGACATTCTGCAGTGGCCCGTGTCCAGCCAGGGTCCCACCATGCACATCAGTCTGTCCACCTGGGCTGTGGGCTCCCTGTGGGGAGGGTATTGGCCGGGACCACCCTCACAGTGCTGGTTCTATCTGGATTGGTGGAGAGAAACCCACTCTGACTGCTAGAGATAAGGAGCGTGGGGGCCCGGGCATTACCGGCAGCTACAGGAAGGGCTCGGCACCCATTTATGGGACAGTCCCCCTGGACCTTGAGGACCCTCTCTGGGTCTCTCTAGTGTCTTTTTTTCCTCTATCTCCCCTCTCCTCTCCCTCCCCACTCACTGCCCCCCCCACCCCCCCAGTTCTCTCTGGCCATCACAACCCCAACATTGCATGACCTTTCAGTTCAGGTTCTTAAAAGTCACAAGAGAGAGAGTGGATTAGTTGCCAGCTGGCTGAGGGGAGGGTGGACATGTAGCCAGGTGGCCCCTGCTGTGTAGTCCAGACCAGCCATGGGCCTCCCAGAATGTTCCAGCGCCGCCCCTGCCGTGGGGTCTAGCCAGCAAGTGTGGAGTCAGAGCAGGATTGCTCCTCTGGGTTTGAGCGATTGCAGGGCCAGCCTCCCCAAGCTGCACCAGAGCCCTGAGAAAGAGACAGGGTGTCAGGGCTGTGGGCCCTGGGCTGGCAGCCTGAGCATCAGTCCCCAGGGCCCCACAGCATGGGTGGGGGAGGGCAGGGGGGCGTTGGAGGGGGCTTGAAGTTTCCTGGCTGGGGCAGGCTGGTGGGACAAGGGAAACAGCCTCTTTCCCTGGCACCCAGGCTCTGTCCCCTGCTTTCAAGGCCTGGCCCAGGCACCCCACTAGCATGTCCTGTTCCCTCAGGGACCCTCCGGCCTCTGGAGTTCCTGAGGACTTCCCTCGGGGGCAGGTTCCTGGTGTACGAGTCCTTCCTCTACCGGAAGGAGAAGGCGGCGGGGGAGAAGGTGTACTGGATGTGCCGGGACCAGGCCCGCATGGGCTGCCGCAGCCGGGCCATCACCCAGGGCCAGCGGGTGACCGTGATGCGCGGCCACTGCCACCCGCCTGATCTGGCGGGCCTGGAGGCCCTGAGGCAGCGGGAGCGGCTCCCCAGTGCGGCCCAGCAGGAGGACCCAGGTACAGACAGGGATGGGGCAGAGGGATGGTGCAAAAGAGCTCTCCCCTCTCCTGGCTCCTTCTCCTGAACCTGAAAACACACCTATGTCTGGCCCATCCTTAAAAACAACTCCCCTTCTAACTACCCTTTTCTCTCCTTCCTTTTATTCTAAGAGGTCTTGACTTTTTATGGATTGTAGTCTCTTTTGAAAATCTGTTGAAAAAACATTAACTACCCTAGAAAAACGTACTAATGTTTGTGTGTGTGCACGTGTACATGCCCGCGCACACACACACGTGAACTTTTACACATTATTAACTTTATTGAACTGAAAATGGGTTCCTTATACATAAACAGAATATAAAGCCAGTCTTTAGGTAGCATCGTGTGTGTCATAGTAATTCGTGTAAATACGAAGGACCACATCTTATAAAATACAGAAATGAATCCAAGTTGTATAAAACAACCGAGAGAAACTTCATTTCTGCTTAATACGAAAAAGGAGATTTCCATGAGGAAGCCACCATTTGCCTTAAACAAGAAGAAGTTGGTGCCTTTGGTGAAGGACGGATCATGCCTGATAGCGAGTTGGTTCCCAATCTTTTTGAGGATGAGGTGAAGACTGACTCTTAGCATCTCAAGTAGCTTATTTTACCAGACACAGGAACTTTGGGGCATTAGAAAACCAGAATTCCCAATGACTCTGCAAATCAGAGTCATTCTGCCTGGTTTCCCGTCTCCTTAAGGCCTTTAGGTCATCATTACAGGGTGGGGGCCTTTGGCTCTAGAAGCTTCAACAAGAAAATAATTATCAATCCATGTTTTTGATTTTTTTTTTCCTCAGAAAAGATAAAACTTCTGCCTAAAGTTCAGCTGTGCCTCAAGACGTGTTCTCCTGAAAGCCAGCAGACTTACGGGTAATTGTATTTGTTACCTAATGCTGCATCACAAATAACCCCAAAACTTAGTGCCTTAAAACAACAAATATTTACTCTCTCTCCGTTTCTGTGGGCCAAAGTTTCAGGAGTGGTTGGGCTGAGTGGTTCTGGTTCAGGGTCTCTCATGAGGTTGAAGGAAAGATGTCAGCGGGGCTGCAGTCACCTGAAGACTTGAGTAGGGCTGAAGGAGCCACTTCCAAAATGGTGCCCATTCACTCACATGGCTGTGGGCTGGAGGCCTCAGTCCCTCACCGTATGGACCTCTCCTTAGGGCTGCTTGAGTGTCCTCAAAGATAGCACCATCTTCCCCCAGAGCGAGTGATCCAAGAAAGAGAGCAGGGCAAGAAGCAGGTCACCAACAACAGCAGAATTCATATCCTTTTCAAGCACGCATGGAACATTCTCCAGAATAGACCTAATCTAGGCCATAAAACAATACTTCATAAATTTAAAAGGATTAAAATCATCCAAAGTATGTTATCTGACCACAGTGGAATGCAACTAGAAATTAATAACAGAAAGAAATTTGGGAAACTCACAAATATGTTAAAATTAAAACCACTAAAAAACCACTTACTCAAAGAGGAAATTAGAAAATAATTTTAAGTGAACAAAATGGAGTTACAGCATACCAAAACTTATGGGATGCAGGTAAAGCAGGGCTTAGAGAGAAGTTCATAGCTGTAAATACTTACATTAAAAAGCAGAAAAATCCAAATCAGTAACTTAAACTTACATGTTAAGACACTAGAAAAAGAACAAAATAGGGGCCACCCCATGGCCAAGTGGTTAAGTTCATGTGCTCCGCTTTGGCGGCCCAGGGTTTCACCAGTTCAGATCCTCGGTGGGGACATGGCACTGCTCATCAAGCCATGCTGAGGCGGCGTCCCACATAGTACAATCAGAAGGACCCACAACTAAAATACACAACTATGTACCGGGGGGCTTTGGGGAGAAAAAGGAAAAAATAAAATCTTTAGAAAAAGAACAAAATAAGCCTAAAGCAAGCAGAAAAAAGGAAATGATAAAGATAAGAATAGAAATTAATGAATAGAGAAGAGAGAAAATTAACAAAACCAGAAGTCAGTTCTTTGAAAGGATCAACAAGTCAACAAACCTTTAGCTAGAATGACCCAAAGAAGTTTTTTAAAAATAGAGAAGACTCAAATTATTAAAATCAAGAATGAAAGATGGGACATTACTACCTACCTCACAGAGGGAAGAAAAGGATTACAAATGCATGCTATGAAAAACAGCATGCCAACAAATTAGATAACTCAGATGAAATGAAAAAATTCCTAGAAAGACATAATCTACCAAAACTGATTTAAGAAGAGAGAGAAAATCTGAATAGATGTACAAGAAGTAAAGAGATTGAATTAGTAATTTTAAAACTTCCCACAAAGAAAAGCCCAGGCCCAGATGACTTCATTGGTGTGTTCTACCAAACATTTAAAGAAGAATTAACACAAATTCTTCACAAACTCTTCCCAAAAATAGAAGAGGAGGAACATTTCCCAACTCATTCTATAAGGCCAGTATCACCATGATACCAAAATCAAGCAAGGCCATTACAGGAAAACTACAGACCAAAATCTCTTAGGAATGTAGATGCAAAAATCCTCAAGAAAATACCAGCAGGGGCTGGCCCCGTGGCTGAGTGGTTAAGTTCGCGCACTCCACTGCAGGCGGCCAGTGTTTCGTTTGTTCGAGTCCTGGGCGCGGACATGGCACTGCTCATCGAGCCACGCTGAGGCGGCGTCCCACATGCCACAACTAGAGGAACCCACAACTAAGAATATACAACTATGTACCGGGGGGCTTTGGGGAGAAAAAGGAAAAAAATAAAACCTTTAAAAAAAAGAAAAGAAAAGAAAAGAAAATACCAGCAAACTGAATCCAGTGACAAAAAAAAGGATCATACACCATGATGAAATGGGATTCATCCTAGGAATGAAAGATGGCCTTAACATCTGTACATCAGTCAACATAACACACATTTGTGCAGAACAGACTTAACATAGCAGGCCTCCAACCGCTGTCCTTAAAACAGCCTGCTTGCAAGGGTGACCCCTAGCTGGCCTCTAGGACTCGACTGGTAAATAGTTCCCTACACGGATGCAGCACTGTCCTGGAATGATAACAGTTGCTCACTCTTATCTCTTTGTACAAAGAATGTGATTTTTGCTGAACACAGCTTTCCTTCTGAAATTCTGGAGTTTCAGTGACTACAGCCAGGCACCCAGACACCGTGTGTCTACATGGCCGGCCCCCAGTAAAAACCCTGAACTCCTAGGCTCAGGGGAGCTTCCTTGGTAAACAACACTTCACACAAGTCATCACAGCTCCTTGCTGCAAAATTAAGCGCATTCTGTGCAACTCTGGTGGGAGACGACTTTGGAGGGTTGTGCCCGGTCTCCCCTGGGCTTCACCCCAGATGCTTTTCCCTTTTGCTGATTTTGCTTTGTATCTTCTCACTGTAATAAATCTTAGCCATGAGTATGACTAGCTGCTGAATCCTGTGAGTCCTTCTAGCAAAATCACCAAAGCTGGGGGTGGTCTTGGGGACGCCACACAGCATGTCAATAGAATAAAACACAACACATGAACGCTGAATAGACACAAAAAGCATTGGATGAAATCCAACACCTCCTCGTGATAAAAACACTCAACAAATTAGGAATAAAAAGCTATCTCAACCTGATAAGGAGCACCCATGAAAACCCCACAACTAACGTCATACTCACTGGGGACAGACTGAGCGCTTTCCACCACAGCTCACTCCCACCACTTCCATTCAACACCGCACTGGAGGTTCTAGCCAAAAAAAAGAAAGAAAAGACATCTAGTTTGGAAAGGAAAAAGAAAAACTCTATTGGTGGATGATATATAGAAAATCCTAAGGAATCCACTAAAAAACTATTGGAACTAATAAACAAGTTCAGCCAGGTTGCAGAGTACAAGATCAATATACAAAAATTAATTGTATTTGTATACACTTTCAATGAACAATCCAAAAGTCAAATTAAGAAAACAGTTCAGGGGCCAGCCAGTGGCACAGCAGTTAAGTTCTCACATTCTGCTTTGGCGTCCCTGGGTTTGCCAGTTCGGATCCCAGGTGCAGACCTAGGCACCGCTTGTCAAGCCTTGCTGGGGCAGGCATCCCACGTATAAAGTAGAGGAACATGGGCATGGATATTAGCTCAGGGCCAGTCTTCCTCAGCAAAAAGATGAGGATTGGCAGTAGTTAGCTCAGGGCTGATCTTCCTCAAAAGAAAAAAAGAAAAAAAAAAGAAGGTGAAAAGACAACCCACAGAATGCACAGAATGAAACATTTGCAAATCATATATCTGATTAAAGACTGGTATCCTGAATATCCAAATAATTCTTATAACTCAACAACAAGAAGACAACCCAATTAACAAATGGGCAAAGGGTCTGAAAAACAGTTTTTCAAAAATTTAATTTCTTTTATGAAGCCCAAGATATACAAATGGCCAATAAGCATAATTAGAGATACTCAACATCATTTGCTTGGAAAATGCAAGTCAACACTCCAGTGAGATACACTCCACACCCACTTGGGAGGCTGTAATAAAAAAGACACACAATAACAAGTGTTGGAGAGGATGCGGAGAAACTGGAACCCTCATACTCTCAGGGTGGGAATATAAAGTGGTGCAGCCACTTTGGAAAACAGTCTGGAAGTTCCTCAAAATGTTAAACAGAGAGTGTATGTTTACCTAGTGATTCCACTCCTAGGTGTATACCCAAGAGAATTGAAAGCGTGTGTCCATACAAAAATGTACACTAATGTTCTAATCAACATCACTCATAATAGCCAAAAAGTGAGAACAATCCAAAATGTCCATTAGTGGGTGAATGGATAAATAAAAAGTGATATATCCATACAGTGAAATATTATTCAGCCATAAAAAGGAATGAAGTCCTGACACATGCTACAATGTGGGTGAGCCCTGAAAACACGCTCAGTGAAGGAAGCCAGACAGAAGAGAGAGCCTAGCATTTATATGAATTTTATATGGAATGTCCAGAATGGGCAAATCCATGGAGACAGAAAAGAGATGAGTAGATTTCTAGGACTAAAAATGTGGGAGGGTGAGAGCTGAAGGGTCTGGAGTTTCTTTTCGGGGTGATGAAAATGTTCTAGAAGTGATTGTGGTGATGGATGCACAACTCTGTGAACACACTAAAAACCATCCAATTCTACACTTTACATGGGTGAGCCATATGGTATGTGAATTATAGCTTAATAAAGCTATTTCTAAAAAAGGCAGGAAGCCCGGTGACTTTTACGACATTGTCACACCCCATCACTCCTACTTTACTCTGTTCATTGGAAGTCAGTCACGCATCCAGCCCACACCCAAGCGGAGGGAATAGGCTCCTGCACTTGGAGTGAGGAATATCAAAGAACTTGTGAACACGTTCTAAACCGTCACAGTAATACAGGAGAACTTTATGTTTCTTGACAAAGAATCTTGAAAAGGCCAGGGTGTGAGTCCCAGTGACTTCTGCGGCAGGAAATGGGACTTCTCAGGAATGTTGGGTGTTTCCTCCAGGACATGCTAGCATGGAAAGCTGGGAATTCCCCAAATCTATGTTGTGGAGCAGGTCACATTTTAAAGGGATTGCTATGTATGTATATGTGTGTACAGCAATGATCTAGTTGATGGTTATCTCTAAGGAAAAGGGTTACAGGAATCCCTAACTTTCTATATTATCTATTTCCGCCACCTTTGGATTCTGATAATGAATGCATGTTTCTCTGCAATCAGGAAGGTCACAGATAGAGAACTTGGCAGCGAGTCCCACTGAGGCCACTCTCCTCCAGATTCGAGCAGAGAAGCCTCACGAGTTGCCAGCGTCCAGGATGCTCTTCGTCTGCACGGGACCCCGCCCGGCATTTCCCACCCGGTTAGAGTTTGCCTGACAAAAACTTGCACTCTTCCAAAGCGTCTGTGGCCTTCACATCTCCTCACGACGTCTCCCAGGAGGGGTATTTTGATGGTGTCTTCCTGCCGGCAAAGAGGAGCCCCAGGAGCGGGGCGGCTTGCAGGCCTGCCTGACGTAGGGAAGGCTCCGACCTCCAAAGGAGCTGAAGAAGCATCTTTTGACAAAGACACCTCTTCCCTGCTCTGCGCTCACAACCGTCTGTTTTCAGAGCACGCGAGCGACCTTGCCAAGGACCTTCCCGTCGGGTGTGGCCCTGCTTCATCCAGGGCACCTCGGGGGAAGTTCCTGCTTCTTCAAGCTGAGCTGAGCTGCTCTGCAGAGCTCCAGGCACCCCACTGGGCCTTCATGCTCAGGGCTGCATCCATCCCTCACGGTGACAGGGCACACCAAACCAGAAGCCTCACTACACCCTCTGTCGGACTTTCTTTCCTTTGCTGTTTCCAACTTAAATTAAACCCAGTGTCCACGATCCCCACGGCAAGTGTTGTTCCCAGCAGTGGGAGCCGGCCCAGATGTCCGCAGGAAGGCGGCCCTGGGCAGACACTCCTGATGAGGCCAGTGGTGTCCTGGGTTGCCCAGGTTCATCTGATGCAGGAGGAGAGGCAGACCAGATAGCAGCAGAGGCGCATCCCCTCTCCTGTCTGGTAGAGGCGCAGAGAGCTATTCTAGCTGGTCCGAGGAGAAGAGGGCTGACATCCTCTGGGAACTCCAGAGGCTGCTGCTTGCTAACAAGGCCACGTCCTTGACAGCGAGTTTTCTTGCCCTCATCCTGTAATCACAGATGGAGCACACAGCGGGAGGCTCCCTCCCTCCTGGCAAGCTGGCCATGGAGCCTGCCATCCAGCTGTGGGACAGTGACAGCTCGAGTCCCCCCCACTGTCCCTCTGCTTATACATTTCCCCCAATAAACCCTATTTTATATCTCACCGTGTAGAGCTGCTGTGTGTGTCCACATCCCTTATGCAACCACTATTGGCTACCACGAAGCCACACACTCCACGTGTCTCAGTGCCACGGGCTTAGAAGTGACGGAGTGCTTGGGCAACACCCTGGGGGAGACCCCCTCATCTGGGACAGTGCCAGATCACCTGGCCCAGATGTCAGCCATACCAAGAGAGGGTGGGGGTCCTCTGGAGGGGTTGCTGAGGGGTTTGCTCCAAGCCCACAGAGGGCCGTGCGGCCCCTGCTGGCCATTCCCTGACCCTGATGTCACTGAAAGAGAGGCCTGGATTCTCTAGGCACCTCTCAAACTGAGTCCTCCCTGACTCATTTTCACAAGCTGGAGCAAGCTTAAAACAGAAACGGCACCCCCAGGCAACGGGGGGTTAGACCCCCGAGACCCCGGCTACCTTCGCACTGACCCATTACCTGACATGACTGCCGGCTCCCCGGCGCCCCCACCTCCCAGCCTTGCCAGCAGTCAGGACGGCCCAGTGATGGGACAGGCCACCTCCCAGGTGGGAGGCAGGTGTCTGCCAAAGCGCCCCTCATGCTGATGGCCCTCAGCAGTGGACACTCAACACCAGCTACGTTTCAGGCAGTGCTCTTGGCATGCTGCCCCAAGACAGTGACCTGCCCATGGCTAAGGCCAAAGACATGGCCCTGTGGGTACAGACATGACGCCCCAATCCCAGAGCCATCTTCGTGTCACAAATGTGCATGCCCATGGGAGGCAGCCACACTGACAGGAAGGCACCTAGACTCAAAAGAATGGTCAAGTTTGTGCCGCCACCAGTTGGGTCTCTGCTCAGCCCCATCGTGGACGGGGGGACCTCGCACAGGCCTGAGTGACTGGCAAGAAGCATTGAGTCGCGGCAGCCCCTGCCACTTGCAAAGCCTGCTCCGCCGGCCGGGTCCGCAGCCTTCCCAGCAGGGCCTCTGCAGGACCAGCGACTTCCCCAGGCCCGAGTCCTATGCCATCAGCCTGGCTGGGCTCTGGGCAGCCAGACATTGGGGTGCGGCGTGAGGAGACTCAGAGGAAGGACATGGCTTCACTCCGCTCCTCAACATTCGCGTTGGCGAGGGCCGGCACACTGCCCCTCTTCTCCACACCTGCTTTGACCTCAGAGGACAGCTGGATGGTCCATGTGGCTCAGACTGAGGGCTCTCAGATGGACATGAATTTGGATACTGGTGGCGCCATGGGTGGCCTCACGACCACTTAGCCACTGAGCTCCAGAGGCTTCCCCCTCATAAGGCCACTTCCTCTATGGTTCCAGAGCCAGAGATGTCCCCTGCCCTGTCCCTGTCAGAGAGCAAAGTGCACAGGGGCAAGTCCCTGTCTCAGAAGCTGGCCCCTTGGGGACAGTGACAACTTGGTGGGGCTGCCCTCATCCTCCCCTGCTCCCACTCTGCTGCTGGTTTCCCCCAATAAACCCTATTTTATTGTGTCTGCACCACACGGCATTGGTAGTGTGTCTCTGTGCCCCTATGCGTGACAGTGTGTAACATCTCAATCATGAAATTTAAAATAAAAAGTTCACAAGGAGTAGCAAAAGTACCAAGGAGGAACTCAAATTTCTAAAGTGGGGTGCAGCAGTCAGCTCTAGGAGCCCCAGGCCCAGTCCCTGTCCCCATGGTGATGAGGTGTGCCTCATCGAAACGCTGCTCATGGACCCCACTCCCTCTTCTGGTCCCCACTCTGCCTCCTGTCCCCATGTCCTCTGTCAAGACAACTTCTGCAGGGTGGCAGGGACCCTCGTCACTGAAATCAATGGATGCTTCTCAGAGCTCGCCTTCAGCCACCCCTCCTTGATTCCTCCCCGATGGCCCCTCCTGGGTTCTCCACCCACCTCCCTGTGTCCCCTCCCAGCCTCCCTCCTGGGCTCCTCAGCCCCTGCCAGCCTCTGAGTGCAGGGGTTGGAGTGCTGGGGACTGGACCTCAGCCCTTTTCTGCCCAGCCTCTTTTGGGGTTCCCAGTTTGTCAATATGCAGCCCCAGCCTGGGCCTCTCTTCTGCAAGCAAGCCTGCATGTCCAGCTGCCTCCAGGGCCTTGGTCCTGGGCATCCCATGGGCACTGGGCACAAGCGGTAAAAGGAGTGTCTGCCTGTTGTCCTCCTCATCTGATGGCTCCACCACACGCCTAGAAACCCAGAGCTGTCCTCGATGCCACCCTGCCTGTCCCTCTGTCCTGTCAGCTGTCAGCGCACACTAGTGCCACCCTGCCTCGTTCTTTTTTAGTAACAGCTTTATTGAGATATAAGCCACATATCATGCAATTCGATGGCTGTTAGTATATTCACAGAGTTGTGCCTCCGTCACCACTGTCTGATTCCAGAACATTTCATCACCCCGAAAAGTAACGCCTGACCCGCTAGCACTCACTCCCTCTGCCTGTCTCTTTCCTATTTGTTAAGGCTGATGGGGGTTCCTTCCTCTGGCGCTGGGGGGGTTTGGGGAATCCAGGTGTCTTAGTCCTCTAGGACTGCCATAACGAATACCATAGACCGGGGGGTGGGGGCCTTAAACAACAGACGGTGGTTTCTCACGGTTCTGGAAGCTGCAAGTCTGAGACCAGGGTGCAGGCACGGTCGGTTTCTGGTGAGGGCTCTCCTGGTTTACGATGGCCACCTTTTTGCTGTGTCCTTACACGGGGGTGTGGGGGAGCTAGCTAACTCTGGCCTTTTCTTATAAGGCACTAATCCATCATGAGGCTCCACCCTGGCCTGAACCCCTCCCAAAGGCCCCTGAGACCATTACATTGGGATTAAGGTTTCAACATATGAATTTCGGGGGGTCACACATTCAGTCCATAGCACCAGGTAAGGCACTTACATAGTAAAGACGACCTTTTAGGCAGTGCTTGTATTAATAAACGTCCCCATCCCTAGGCCCCTGAGTCACCTGGAGCCCCAGCCTCTCGCCTGCATGAGCACAGCAGCCTCCATTGTCCCCTCTCTGTATTCTATCCCCATGACACTTGGTGGGGGGTGGCTTTTCTAAAACGCAATCCCGTCAGGCAACCCCTGCCCCGGGTGTTCTCTCCCTAGTGTCCACATCAGGTATGACTACCTGGTTTAAGGACTAGAAGCCAAAAGTACCCAAAGGGGTCTCTGGAGACCAACCAAAGACAGGTGAGCCGCCAGCCTCAGGCTGCACCCTCACCACAGCTCTGCAGAGCCCAGACTTTCCTGGCTGCCCACTCCCCTGTCCCCCCAAGGGCTCTGAGGGCACCAGACAGGCCCCTCTGCTTTGGAAATAAGGAGGGGCCCTGACACGGGCTTTGGGCCTAACAACCCTCAATGCTTCAAAGAAGGGAGAAGAATTTGCCTAGCATGCAGCAAGCACTCATAAACATTGGATAAAGATGTGATTGACTGAATGACGAATGAAATGCATGAGGGGAGGGCAGGGCGGACGTGGGTGGGAGTCCTGCTTGGGTCTCTCTGTCCCATGTCTGTTGCACTCTGGCTGGTGAAAGTGATTCACCTGTCCATTGACAGACGAAAGGATAAAGAAAAATGTGGCCTATCCCTATGGAATATTATGCAGCCTTAAAAAAGAAGGAAGTCCTATGCTACATCATGGGAGAACCTTGAGGACATGATGCTAAGCAAAATAAGCCACTTACGAAAGAACAAATACTGTATGATTCCACTCATATGAAATAGCTAAAGTCGTCAAAATCATAGACACAGAAAGTACAAAGGTGGTTCCCAAGGGCTGGGGGAAGGGAGGCAGAATCAGTGTTTAACGGGTACAGAGTATCAATGTTGCAAGATGAAAAAGTTAGGGATCAGTTGCACAAGGATGTGAATATACTTGGCTGCTGAACTATTCACTTACAAATGGTTAAGATGGGAAACTTAATGTTATGTGTTTTTCACCATGAAAAAAAGAAGAATGAGTGGATGGCCAAGTGCCAGACGGTGCCTGCAGCAAATGTCTTTCTCCCACAAAATAAAGAGATAGGCTCTAGCTGCTGGAGGGGCTGCAGAGGGTAAGAGTGGGGAGTCAGACAACAGTTGGGAGAGCCCTTTGTCGAAGTAGGACGTGGTAGTGGCATGGACTAGGGAGGTGGCAGCAAGGATGGAAAAGGGACAAGAGATAATAAGAGATGTTATGAGTTGAACTGTGTCCCCGCCAGTTCACGTGTTGAAGTCCTAACTCCCAATACCTTAGAATTTGGCCTTATTTGGAAAGAGGTCACCACAGATGTGATTAGTTAAGACGAGGTCACACTGGGGTAGGTTGGGCCCCTAATCCAATATGACTGATATCCTTATATAAAGGAGAAATTTGGACACAGACACGCACTCAGGGAGAAGGCCACATGAAGATGAAGGCGGAGATCAGAGGGATGCTTCTACGAGCTGAGGAACACCAGTGACGGCCAGCAAATCGCCAGAACCTAATCAAGAGGCATCAATAAATTCACCATCACAGCTCTCAGAGGGGACCAACCCTGCTGACATCCGGGCCTCAGGCTTCCAGCCTCCAGATTGTAGACAATCAATTTCTGTTGTTTAAGCCCCTAGTATGTGGTGCTGTTACAGCCCTAGGAAACCAATGCTGGAGACAAGAACTGGAGAGGGGTGGGAGGGTGTATTAGTCAGGTAGGCTGTGCCAGCTGCTGTAACAAGCAAGCCCCCAATCTCAGTGGCTAAACACAATAGATGTTTATTTCTCACTCATGCAGAGTCCCAAGCTGATACTTCTCTTTGGTGGCACCTTCCACAAAGTCACTCAGGAATCCAGCTCCTTCCATCCTCGTCTAGCCCTGGGCATCCCCTCCATTCAGTTGGTGAATGGAGGAGACAGAAACTGAGGCCATCATAGGCCAGACGTGGTGGGGACCTACATCAGCGCTTCCCAGACTTTAACACCTGGAGATCTTGTTAAATGCAGGTTCCGATGAAGGAAGGCTGGGGCGGAGCCTGAGAATCTGCATTTCTAAGTTCCTGCTGATGCTAATGCTGCTGGTAGGAACCCTCCCTTCGGGTCCTCCCTCCAGCCAGAACGCCACTCACCTGGACTCACTCGTGTAGCCACACTTGAGGCAGGGGAGGAGAGGAAGGGAGGTGCAGGTGTTTGTGCAGGACCTGGAGGACTTGGGATCAGTAAACACAGGTGGATAGGGGCAGACAGGAGCCGACCCTCCCACAACAGCAGTGCCATTGCTGCCAAGGGACCAGGGGGAGGTCTTGACTGGAACTGCAGGGCCCTTCAGCAGGGGGCCTTTCTGAACTCCCCAGAAGTGGTGGGGGTGAGGACCCAGACCTTCCTTAGTTGGAGATTCCATGAGTCCCCTGGGACTGGAGCTCGCAATCAGGACACCGCCTCTCATCCCCCAGCCTAAGTTTTGAAACTGAGCATCCCCTCCCTCTCATCTGATACCCCCTTTGTAGGAAACTGAAGCCCACCCAGACTAAAGGGTGGAAGTGCAGTGGACCAGATGGACAATCCTTTTTGATCACCCTCTGACCAGAGAAGGGATCAGTTCCTCCTCCACTCCTCCCTCTGCCCCCATTGGGCACATGGGATCCTGGGAGTCTCTGCCCACCTCCTCCCCTTTCTTCTGTGGGGCTGAGACCTTGGACGATGAGGATTCCCATGCACCCCCATCACCCATGGCCCAGTCCTGCCGCCCCAGGATGCTTTCCGTGGGCCATAGCCTGGGACTACACCACCAAGCTTGGCAGCCCCCGCACTCGTGGGCAGGAGGGAGAAGGGGACCAGCTTGACAGGTGGCCACCTGCTGCTCCCTCATTAGGGAGGCGTCAGGCCGGTTCCCGGGGCGGTGGGCTAGTGCGTGCAGGTGAGACTCCCAGTCCTGTGCTCAGCGGGGCCAGGAAGCCTCCAGGCGAGCTTGCCCCAGCCTGGCTGCTGAGGGGGCTGCCCACGAGGCGACCCAGGTGCCAGCCTCGCATCTCAGAAAGCCCACCTCCTTGCATCCCCACGCGCCCCCAGACCCAAGAGCCTGTGTGTGAAGCACTAACTGTGACGACTCCGCCGGTCCCTCACAGCCTGGCCACCCTGGCTTTTCTAGAATCCTCTCTGCGCCCCCCATCTTGGGGGGCGGGGAAACTGACAGGGCAGGGACAGGTCTTCCCGGGCTGGACAGCCTGGTGGGGGCCTGGTGAGGGGTGGAAAGGCTGGACTGAGGGGCAACGGATCTGGACTGGGAGGGGCCGCTCTGGGCCCCCGGCCACCACCCGCCTCCTCGCTGGCCCCCACCCCCGCCCTCCCACGCACCTGCGTTGGCCTCCCCCCAAGCCCTGGGGGCAGCCGGCGGGCGGCGCTGGGAGATCAGAGGACTCGGAGGAGTCGGGCCCAGGGGGAGGGGGCGGGGAATTTCCCCCCACACCTGCCTGGGCCTGCTCCCCTCCCCCTCCCCCGCCAGGTTGGGGGGCACCGCTGGGGGAATTCCTCAGCGCTGCGAGGGCTCCGGCGAGCCTGGGCTGGGGGTCCCAGGAAGAGAAGGGGGAGGAGAGGAGAGGACAGGCTGGGACCACGGGCGCAGCTGCCTTCCTCCCCAGACACCAGCTGCCCCTGCCTGTCCAGGACTGAGCATCCACCATTCCCGCCTGTCTCGCGGGTGCGGGGGGCAGGGAGTGGCACTTCCACCGTCAGGCGAGAGGCGTCGGGACCTGCGGAGGGAGGGGTGTGAGGATCCGATAGAGGGTGTGCGTGTGAGCGTCTGACGATGAATGGGAGACTGAGTGGGAGTACGTGCGTGCTCTTCGTTCAAGTGTGCCTGTGAGCGGGAGACTCCGGGGTATCCTGGGGGCGTGTGGCCTCGCCAGTAGGTCCTGTATGTCCCCCATTAGGGTCCTTCTGTCCACCAGCCTGGCCTGGCCTCCTCCACACACTCCCTCTAGAACCTGCACCGACCCTGAGAGGGGGAGGGGGCGGGGAGGCGCGCGCCGGGACGCCGAGGGTCCCCAGACGAGGTGGGGGAGGCGGGCGTGGGAGGCGTCTGGACCTGCTGCCTCGGCTCCAGTCTCGGGCGGAGCTTCCCGGCCTCGGGGGATGGGATGGGGAGGGAGGGACCCAGGGGGGAGGGACCCGCGGAGGGACGCGACGGGGGCAGGAGCCAGCGCGTTAGAGACCTGGGCGAGGGAGACTCAGAGAGCGAGGCGCAGCGGGAAGGGGCGGGTGTGGAGGCCGAGGCACAACCCCGAGTACGGAGAGGCAGAGACGGAGAACGCCCCTGGCCAGAGACCACCCTCGGGGAAACCCCCAGTAGGGACAGGGACAGAGAGACGCCTCCGGGGCAGAAACCCTGGGAGGCAAATAACCCCGGGAGCTATTTCCCCCGCCCCAGACGGAGAGCGCTGCCCAGAGTGGGACGAGGATAGACGGTCAGGGGACAACGTCCACCATGTGGCCTGGGAGACCCCGAAGCGACCCCGGGGGTGGCACGCGCCGTGTGTGGGCCAGGGCTACCTCTCCTTGGTTTGGGGCGATGGGGACACGGGCCCGGCAGGGCCTCCTCCTCCTCCTCCTCCTCCGCCCACTGCTGCCGCCACGCGGGACCTCCGCAGGGAGCCTGCATAGCCCAGGTGAGTCCCAGCCCGGCGACTGGGCCGTGGTCACCACTCCCTCCACCTCCTCTGCGCCTAGGACCTGGGTCCCGAGGCTGGGGAGGGGACAGAGCAGGTGGCGGGAGCAGCTGGGCAGCCCAAGGGCCCTGCGGGCGCCGGGGGCACTGGCTGGGGAGCGAAGCGGGAGTTGGCGTCGGCGGATGAGGATGCCGGGCGAGGGTCCAGACCTCCCCAGGCCCCGCCGTCGCCGTGCAGGCCTGTCCGAGTGCTTCCAGGTGAATGGCGCCGACTACCGCGGCCACCAGAACCGTACCGGCCCACGCGGGGCCGGCCGGCCCTGCCTCTTCTGGGACCAGACGCAGCAGCACAGCTACAGCAGCGCCAGCGACCCCCAGGGCCGCTGGGGGCTGGGCGCGCACAACTTCTGTCGGTGAGGGGCGGGGCAGGGGCGGGGCCTGTACTGGGGCGGGGCCTCCGTGTGGGCGGGGCTGAGGTCTCCACTGGGCGAGTAAGGGGTCCGCCACGAGGGTCTGGAGGCGGAGCCTAAGCGAGGGGCGGGCCTAGCCTGCGCTGGGGGCGGGGTTGGGAGCTGGGATAGTCCTCGGCCGTGGGGTCCGGCCTTTCGTGCCCAACTTCTTGAGAGCCTGACGCAGGGCCAGGAGCCCAGGGCCAGTGCTGGGCGCCCAAGGGGCTTGTGCGGGCACGATCTAGTTAGAGGCGAGCCCTGGGGTGAGGGGCTGGGTGGGCTCTTGCTCTACCACTTCTTCGCGCGGCTTCTACTGGCTGTGACCAAGGGACTGGGGGCTTAGAGCCATGTCTGCTGTCTGGAGCGGTAGAGCCCCAGCGCAGCGGAAGGGCACTTCTCTGCTGAACCGCAAGGGACGTGGCCGAGGCCCATGGCTGGGTAGGGGGCGAACACTACAGATGGCCTCAAAGTCTTCATACACTACGTCTCGTCCTAGCAACAGCTGAAGCCCTAAAATCAGCCCTCAGGGCCCCTTTAATGGCTTCCCACGGCCTGCTCAGAAGTCGACATCCAGAAGCACGTGGAGCAAACCAGAATTCGTGCGAGGACGGAGAGGAGCGCTCAAATAACCTCCAACACACACGGGGCCAGTTTCCGAATAGGCCGTGGGGCGCGGCCCGGGATTCGTGGCTCTTGGGGCTGTGGGCTTCCGATCACTTCTCCCCCTCTCGCAGGAACCCAGATGGTGACGTGCAGCCATGGTGCTACGTGGCCGAGACGGAGGAGGGCATCTACTGGCGCTACTGCGACATCCCCACGTGCCACAGTGAGTGGGCCCGGCTGGACGAGGGTGGGACCGCACGGCTGCCCGGGGGAGTTGGCTTTCGGAGGCGCGTGACAGAGCCCGACTCCGCTGCCCCCTCAGTGCCCGGGTACCTGGGCTGCTTCGTGGACTCGGGGGCACCCCCGGCCCTCAGCGGCCCCAGTGGCACCTCAACCAAGCTCACGGTCCAGGTGTGCCTTCGCTTCTGCCGCATGAAGGGCTACCAGGTACTGCCCGCCGGCCCCGACCAGTGACCCCCGACCTTGACCTCAGGACCCACATCAACTCCCGACTCTGACGCCAAACCTTGACACTGACTGCTGAACGTCCAGCCCGATTCCCATTTGCGACCCTTACCCCTGGCTTCCACCACCCCACCCCTATCTCGCTCCCTGCCTCTGGGGTCACCGGGTCTGTGCCCCCAGCTGGCGGGCGTGGAGGCTGGCTACGCCTGTTTCTGTGGCTCTGAAAGCGACCTGGCCCGGGGACGCCCGGCCCCGGCAACCGACTGTGACCAGATCTGCTTTGGCCACCCGGGCCAGCTGTGCGGCGGCGACGGGCGCCTGGGCATCTACGAAGGTGAGAAGTGGGCGGGGATGAGGGACCTGGGTGAGGGGAGGAGTCTGGGTGGGACCCTGAGCGCGATGACCCGATAGGGAGCGGAATCTGGGACCCGGAGGCAGTAGGCTGGGGCCGGGGCCCGAAGAGGACCAGGCTGGGGGCCGAGGGCGGGGTCTGAGTGAGGGCGGGCCCCCAGGAGGGGATTAATAGCGTGGGGCGGGGCCTAAGGAAGGGGCTGGAGGGGGCCCGCCGAGGCAGTGGGGCCAGCCTGGGGGCGGGGCCTAGCCGCGGGGGGCGGGGCTCCAGCGTGAGGCCCCGCCCCGTGAGGGGAGAGCCCGGGGCCGGGTTCTGACCGCCGGCCCCGCCCACAGTGTCCGTGGGCTCCTGCCAGGGGAACTGGACCGCACCTCAGGGCGTCATCTACTCCCCGGACTTCCCGGACGAGTACGGGCCGGACCGGAACTGCAGCTGGGCGCTGGGCCCGCCGGGTGCCGCGCTGGAGCTCACCTTCCGCCTCTTCGAGCTGGCCGACTCGCGCGACCGGCTGGAGCTGCGCGACGCCGCCTCGGGCCGCCTGCTCCGCGCCTTCGACGGCGCCCGCCCGCCGCCGCCCGGGCCGCTGCGCCTGCGCGCTGCCTCGCTGCTGCTCACCTTCCGCAGCGACGCGCGCGGCCATGCGCAGGGCTTCGCGCTCACCTACCGCGGTGAGGCCCCGCCCGACCCCCCTCCGCCAGCTCCCCCGCCACCCTGCTTCACACCCCTCTCCGCAGGGCTGCAGGACGCTGCCGAGGACCGGGCGACCCCCAGGGGCTCTGCCCAGACCCCCGCAGCGCCCCTCGAAGGGGCCAACGTGAGCTGCAGCCCCCGGCCTGGGGCTCGGGAGGTTGCGATGGGGGGTGAGGCGAGCGGGCGTGCGAGGCGGGAGGGAGCTTGGGGAGCAGCTCCTCCGGACCCTTGTCCTCACTGGACCCGTGTGCCCGCAGCCCGGGTCTTCTCGACGGTGACGGCCGTCTCAGTGCTGCTGCTGCTGCTGCTGTCGCTCCTGCGCCTGCTGCGCCGACGGTGCGCGCGCTGGGGCAGGGCTCGAGGGCGGACCCAGCCCGGGACCTGACGCCTCGGTGCCCTGGGCGCGGGGTCCCTGGTGGGAAGCTAGGGCCACGAGGGGAACGGGGCTGGGAGGAACTCCTGGGTTCTTGAAGGATGAGGCCTTGGGGCCACACAGGGAATCTCGCGCAGGATCGCAGGCCAGTGCAGGATGCTGGAGGTGAGATTGGTCAGGGCTTGGGCTGACCTCTGCTGTCTCTCTAGGAACTGTCTGCTGACTCCGGGAAAAGGGCCCCCAGCATTGGGTCCTTCCCGAGGCCCTGGGAGAAGCTGGGCCGTGTGGTACCGTCGGCCTCGAGGAGTAGCCCTGCCCTGTCCCCCCGGAGACCCCCAGGCTGAGGGTCTAGCCACGACTTACCGGCCCCTTAGCGCCTCCAGCCAGAGTTCCCTGCGCTCACTCATCTCTGCTCTCTGACTCGGGACCCCAGGGTCCACGGGACCCTCGGCCAGCGGAATGGACACCTGAGATGCTATGCCACACTCTGCCTTGGTCCTCCGCCCCTTTAAGGGTAGCTCGGCCTCTGGTTACCTCGCGGAGGCCAGACGTCGGGCAGGAAGCATCTGGTGCTATTATTGGGAACTTGGCTTGATCCTCGGATTCCAGATGGTCGAGGCCAAAGGGCAAAAGGAATCCGGCTCCCCTCCTCATAGACCTTGATACCGGGGTCTCTGATTTCAAGGGTCTTTGAGCCCCTCTTGGAGTGGTCCTGGACTGCTGCCCTAAGTGAAATGTGAGAGGTCAACAAAAGTGGTCAAAAGACCAGCCATAGACTTTGAATAAAGGACCTATTTTGGTACAGGACTCCACCAAGTTCTCACGTGGTGGGAAAGGCTGTGTTAATGAGGCTGCTGGAGCCAAGGGTTGGGTGTGTCCATGCAAATTAAGGGCATTCCAAGCAAAGACTTCTCGGACCCTCCTGGAATGCAAAGGACTGAAAAGCCCCGGAGACTGAAGGATGGGTGGGCGCGTCCTGGAGAAGGGAGGAGGAGGAGGCGGGTTGTGGGTGGGGTTACGCACAAAAGGGGATGCCTTCCTGGGCCCTCTTTAGGATCAACCTGGGCGGGGACCCACTTTTCTCCCCTGGCCCTCTCTCTTCCCTTCCGTTTCCTGCCTGTCCTGGGTGGTGCGCCATGTGGGCGGTAATGGGGAGCGAGTTTGGCCGAGCCCAAGTTCGAAGAAGCCTGAGGCCCGGGCATCTCAGCGCGCCTTCCTGCGCTCCGGAGGAGTCGGGCTGTTGGAGAGATCAGCCCTGGAGTGAGGGCGCGCCGGCTCCAGACCTGACCGGTCCAAACGTCCGGTGCCGGCAGCACCTTGGACAGAGCCCGGGCAGCGGGGTGGGGTTGGGTGGTGGGGCTGTGCCCTGGACAGTGAGTGCCCAGGAGTGCGTCGACGTGTGGGTCGCGCGGAAAGCCCGGGCCCACACTGCGGGGGGACGCGAGGCGTCGGGGTCACTCTGGCAGAGCCACCGGGACTTAGAACGTCGGGTCCCAAGCCAACAGCCACCCCATGCAAATAAGTCTGGGCCGCATAGATTATGCTAAGAGGGTGAAGGCCTGGGCGTCCGCGGGGCGGGGCCTCGCCGCCAGCATCGCCCATTGGTCCTCGCAGTGCCGGCATCAGGAGCCCAGCGCACGAAAGGTTGGCGGGATGGCGGGGGCGAGCAGCTGGGGCGGAGCCTGGCGTCTCCACCCGCGTCCGGCCGCGCCCGTCCTCCGGGCTGCGGAGGGACTACTGGCCGCTGCCGCGGCCAACATAAGACTTCCTTGTGTCGCGCCTGCCCCGGCGGAGCCGGCCGCACTGCGCTCAGGCGCCAGGCTTGTTCCCAGCCTCCGGTGCCGGGGCGCGGGACCCGCGCGTGCGCAGCGCAGGAGGGGCGCAGGCCGGGACCCCCAGGCCGGCGCGTGCGCGGACCGAGCGCTGGGCGGCGGCGGGCGCCGAGATGAGCCTCCGGGTGCTACGGCCCCACTGAGGAGGCGGCTCCGGGGCAAGAGGAGCTCAGGCCGCCCGCACCGCGCCGGGCCATGGCGTTCCTGGGGGGACCGCGCCTGCTGGACTGGGCCAGCTCGCCACCCCACCTGCAATTCAACAAGTTCGTGCTGACAGGCTACCGGCCAGCCAGCAGCGGCTCGGGCTGCCTGCGCAGCCTCTTCTACCTGCACAACGAGCTGGGCAACATCTACACGCACGGTGAGCCGCGCCCCGCATCGCCCTCCCGCGGCAGCCCTGCCCGCGCCGGGCTGGGGGCCCGAAGGCCGAAGAGCGCCCCAGCGCCCAGGTCCTGGGCTGCCCCGGCCCTGGCACGGCCAGGAACCGCGGTGACAAAGCTGCCATTGTCCCGGATGGCGCTGCCAGCTTCCGCTACCCCTGAGGGGCCCCCGGGGCAGGCAAGGGAAGCAGAGTGGGGGACCAAGTCCGCTTAATCCCTCTGAGCCCCGGGGAGAAGAGCCTGGTGTCCAGCCCCTTCGTAATCCCGGCGCCCTGGGCACCCTTCCCCGCCAGCGCCCTTCCCGGAGATGGGTGTTGATACCGGCGAGTAGGAGCCCAGGAGAAGCCAGGCTCCGGCCCCTCCTCGCACGGCCACCCTGCCGCCCCCGCCCGGAGCAACCCATGCACCAGGCTCCGCCTGGTGGCGGCTCCTTCCCCCCGCCCCCCGCAGGCGCCGGGCCCCTCCTCGCGTCCCGCCGGGCTCTGCTGACACAGCCCTGACTGTCCTTGGCCTGCCCCAGCCAGAGAGGGGCCCTGAGCGAGCTGGGCCCAGCCTTGGTACCTGCCCCACTGGGGGACGGTGGTCTGGCCAGACCCTTCGAAGAGGGCAGCCGGGGGCCCCAGCCTGCTGTGTCTGCCTTTTGACCCCTGTGAGGGCAGTGCCAGAGGGCCGGCACCAGCGGGTAGGCATGACCCTGGAGGGCTGGGCTGGGAGGAACAGAGCTCCCAGAGGAGGTGCCTGGCGAGACAGAACAAGTTCCTTTCAGCCCCCTTCCCCTGCCTGGCCTCACCTTTCTGGAACAGAAAAAGGCCTGAAACCTCCGTCTCTCTGGTCACTTGTGGAGCGGAGAGGACATAGGGGTTGGGCACAGCACGCTAAGCAGCTCTGGAATCTGGCATTATTGCCACATGTCCTGTTGAGAATTCAGCTTTGGGTGACGCCTCCTTCTGGCTTCTGCTGACACACAGAGGCCAGGTTTGGGCGTTGGGGACCCCTGCTTTCAGGAGAGGTGATGTGGCTGCAGGGCTGAGAGCAGCTGGGAGTCAGACTGTCCAGGCTCCATCCTGCTTTCATCGCTTACTTGCTGGGGTCACCTGGGGCAGGCTACTCAGTGTCCTCGCCTGCAAAGTGGGGACAATGGTCTCTACTTCCCAGAACATCGTGAGCTCTGCCAAGTAAGTTACAGAGAGCCCACGGCCGGCCTCTATCCAAGGCCCAGTGGAGAGTCGGCTAACGGCGTTGTCAAGACCTGCCTTGCTCTCAGCCCTGGTGTTGTCTCCAGACTGGACTCTGAGAACGTGATCTGCCCCCAGTGCTGAAGTGCTCTCACCGGTGACTGTCTCCCTCCCCCAGGGCTGGCCCTGCTGGGCTTCCTTGTGCTACTGCCGATGACCATGCCCTGGGGTCAGCTGGGCAAGGACGGCTGGCTGTGGGGCACACACTGTGTGGCCTGCCTGGCACCCCCAGCAGGCTCTGTGCTCTATCACCTCTTCATGTGCCACCAAGGGGGCAGCCCTGTGTACACCCGGCTCCTTGCCCTAGATATGTGTGGAGTCTGCCTCGTCAACACCCTTGGTGAGCCAAGGGATGGGGGAGGGGGCTCGAAGGATGGGAACTGGGGGGCAACTGGGGAGGGGAGGCAGGGGATGCTCATGTGAGCCCTGGGTGAAAGGGTAGGCTGACCCCCACACTGATGCGCCCTCTCCTGCCTCTCTCCTCTGTGCAGGGGCCCTGCCCATCATCCACTGCACCCTGGCCTGCAGGCCCTGGCTGCGCCCTGCTGCCCTGGTGGGCTACACCGTGCTGTCAGGTGTGGCTGGCTGGCGGGCCCTCACCGCCCCCTCCACCAGTGCCCGGCTCCGTGCCTTTGGTTGGCAGGCCAGTGCCCGCCTCCTGGTGTTTGGGGCCCGGGGAGTGGGGCTGGGCTCTGGAGCTCCTGGCTCCCTGCCCTGCTACCTGCGCATGGATGCACTGGCACTGCTTGGGGGGCTGGTGAACGTGGCCCGCCTGCCAGAGCGCTGGGGGCCTGGCCGCTTCGACTACTGGGGCAACTCGCACCAGATCATGCATCTGCTCAGCGTGGGCTCCATCCTCCAGCTGCACGCCGGCGTTGTGCCCGACCTGCTCTGGGCTGCCCGCCACGCCTGCCCACCGGACTGAGCCACCCCCTACCCGCCAGGCCAGCCTGCCCAGTCTTCTAGGGCCAACACCACTGTGCTTCCTTCCTACTGGTCCACAATGAGCTGGCTCCCTGGATGTTTCCAGCAAACAGGACTTCCTACCTGGGAGCCTGTTGATCCCTTCTTTCCTGTGGATTAGCCTTTCCTGCCTGGCCTTGGAACTCCAGCTTCCCTTCCCCGCCTTCCCCCAGGGTTCTGTCTTCCTGTGGAGGCTGGAAGGAAACCTTTCCTTCTCTAGGCCTCAGTTTACCCTCTGTGACCTGTGAGGGTTGAGCCAGAGGGACTCTGGGCTCATGTCTCTCTCTAACAGTGGGTATCCTGCCAGCCCAGAACCATCACCCCACCCTGCCCCTTCTCAGACCCTCCCATGAGACACCTCGAAAGGTGCTGGGCCCAGCCTCCAGCCCATGCTTCCTGACCTCCACTTTCTGCCCTGAAGGCCAACCCTCCCAGTAGGCTGAGGCTCCCCCAACCCTTCTGCCTTCTGTCCAGAGACTATGGAGGGAGGAATTTGGGCAGCAAGACTAACCATTATCCCAGGACCAGTTTTTTTCTAGGCAACTGGCATAGACGTAGAGCTGAGTGGCCCTGAACTCAGCCCTACTGGGCTGAGGGCCCACCCTCCACCTTGACTGCCATGCTCTGAAGGCTCCACCCACCCCCTGGGGACGCCCTGCTCAGGAAGTGGCTCCCAGCTGCAGTCTGCCAGCCTGGGGCCCCAGGGCCCTGCAGCAGGGCTCAGCTTCGGCCCATCCTGGGGGGTCTCAGACTCCAGGTGATGACAATAAAAGGGGCAGGAAATGCTGTATTGCCACGCAAGCAAGCTTGGGTGCTCCCAAGATTCAAATACCTTTTATTAGATGTGGCCAGGAAGAAGGGACCACTGGAGTTCCCAGAGGGACCTCAGCCTCTGGGAAGAAGGGAGGAGGGGCTAAAAGGTTAAAAGCGCCAGGCCTGGGCCCCGGGACTCAGGTTGGGCCCAGTGAGTCCTCAAAGAGGCTGAGGAGGTTCCGAGGCTCAAAGGAGGGGAAGGAGCCCCGAGGGGGCTCTGAGTCAGTGTCACTTAGGTCCAGGCCATCCCTGGGGGGAAGGGAAGAGAGAGAGAAATGACATTCAGGATCCAAAAGCCACTCCTTCGCAGCCCCTGGACCCTGGTCCTGCTCACCTCAGTGTGTACCTGCTTCGGGGGGCAGGGGAGCTGCTGCAGGGGGTGGAGGTGGTCCCGGCAGCCCTGGCTAGGACAGCCTCTGGAAAGAGTGAGGGCCTGCACACAGGGTTGGCAAGAGAAGTGGGGTGTCAAGCAGTGAGGAGCGCACAGGGAGGCCACAGCTGGGTGAGAGCAGCAAGGCCAACCTGGTCCCTGTGCAGGCTCCAGGCTCCCTCCTGCCAAGGGCAAGGGGCCACAGTTGGGGACAACAGAAGCGTGGTGCACTTTCACAACTTTTAAAGGCCACCTGATTAAGCTCAAAGGCTACCTCTGTTCTCAGAACACATGGGCTTCAACAGAGCTGGCTTTGATGTGAACTTGTGGTAAATGAAGCTTGTTTGGCACTTCGTGCCTGCTATAAAGTGCCCCCATGGTGACGGGGTGACATTTCGTAAGGCCTGGGTTAATGGTGTGATTCCTCTGAGAGCCGTCCGCCCCGAGCATGTGGTTTTCCTTTGCAGCAGTTTCTTAATTATAGCCTCTCACTTGGCCACCAGGCACCTGGGACTAAGGAATTCCTTCTGGGTCACGGGGGTGGCTTGCCAGGCTCTGAGGGCTTTGTCCCCTGAGAGGAAGAACAAGGCCTTGTCCTTGGGCACTGGCAGCCTCTATTGGGGTACTGGGGTGGGAGCCAGGACCCTTGCGCTGCTCCCTGTGTGGCAGTGCCTAAGTGTGAAGTTGCCAACTCTGCTGGGCTCTGCACAGCGGCCGTCCCACGTGCTGAGCTTAGAAGAAACAGCTGCATTCAAACTAGGCCAGGCCACACCAGCCTTGGGTCCCTTCCCGGGGTGTGATGGGGGCCAGGTCTGTGGGAGGAGTCTCGGTTCACCACTAATCTCTATGGGTCCTGGGTCTCGGGTGTGGAGTTTGGCCACGATGACAGCCCATCTCCTCTGATCCCCGTCCATGTTCGTCCACATCTCACCCACCCTATGCTCTCGTCATCCCAGTTGCTGGAAAGGCTGCTGTCCAGGAGGAGGCTGCAGGGCGGCGAGCCAGGTGGGGTGGCCGGCGGGCCCGGAGGCTGCAGCCAGCTGGCAGGGTGAGCCAGCCCGTGCCAGAGCCAGCACAGCAGGGCCAGCAGGGCCTGTGGGGACAGGGGGCCGAAGGAAGCTGGGTAGACCCTGGGGCCGGGAGCAGGGCGGGGCAGCCTGTCACCTTCGCCCAGCTTACCTGCCACAGGGCCCACCCTCGACTCAGGGCTTCGGCAGCCATGTACCACAGGACGCTCCAGGGCCGTGGCTGCCGGAGCATAGGCAGGGCCAGCAGGGCCTCCGCTGTGGCTCGCAGCTTGGGGTCAGGCTCCAGCATCATGACAAGGACAGAACGCAGCTCAGAAGACAGGCCTGTCCGTGGGGCAGGGCCACATCAGGGGTGACTGGGCCCTGAGCCCAGCAGTCCACCACTGCCAGCCATTCCCTCCCACAGGAGCCTGTCCTCCCAGTGGCAGCATGTCCCGCCCATCTTTGCCCCCCACTCACTGGCAGTGAACTCAGGGGGCAGGTAGCCCTGGCGCAGCTGCTGCCAGCCCTTTCCACCATGCGGCAGCTCCATGTTGCATGCCACTTCCAGGATGGTGAGACCCAGACTGGGAGGGACGGAGACAGGGACAGAAGAAGAGCAGGTTCGGCCTCGGGACACAGACCCCAGAGCCCCAGGCTGCCCCCAAGAAGAGGGTAGGAAAGGATTGCTGTCTTCTACCATGAGCTGGGAAAGTGGGGGAGGGGCTCAGGGCCCTGAAAAGGCCCCTGCAGGGCCAATGATGGGGACCACATCATGGTGCATGGATACTATGCTTAGCACAGCCCACATGCCCCAGTGGTGAGTCCTCCCACCACCCCCCACTGGACAGTCACTGTGGTTCCCGTGGCTATTAGCATTCTGGTTGATATGGCTGGATTCCAACCGCTGTTAGAGGCAGAGCAGTGGTTACCAGCATGACTCATGGAAGCCAGCTCACCAGCTGCTAACTGTGGACCTCGGGCAGGCGAGTCCTGTAACCCCCCTGTGCCTGGTCACCTGTAAATGGAGCGATAATAGTCCCTCCTATGGAGGCGTGGTGAGATGGGTGAATCTACATTAAGTGGCTCCAGAGGGTTTGCTGCTTAGACAGCCAGCCTCTGCAGACCCCCCTCAACTAGAGGGTGGGGCCGCCACCCGCGCAGTGCAACGTCTCCCAGCCTGGAGCCAAGTCTTCCTGACTTTGGCCTAGGATAGTCTTCCCTCTCTCTGCTGACCCTCCCTCCTCCCCACCCCACCAAAGGCTTCCCACGTCCCAGCCCTCACCTGAACACGTCCGCCGCCGTCCCGTAGGAGCCCTGCAGCAGCTCAGGTGCCATGTAGCGGGGGTCTCCCTCCTGGGCCTCACCGGCTCCAGACGCACCCAGCTCCACCAGCAACCCAAAGTCACCCAGTTTGCAGCGGCCCCGGGGCCCCAGGAAGATATTGGCAGGCTTGACATCAAGGTGGACCAGGCCTTGGCCATGCAGGTGGGCCAGGGCAAGCAGGGTGTCCCGCAGGTAGCCCCAGACCTGGGCCTCAGGCAGGCTGGCGCCCCAGGCCTCACAGTGCTGCTGCAGGCTGGGCCCGCACAGCTCCGTCTGCAGGTACAGGATGCCGCCCTCCTCCCAGGCTTGCTCTAGCCGCACGCAGCGCGGGTGCTGCCCCACCTTCTCATGGCCACCGACCTCGGCCAGCTTGCGGGCCCGGTCCTTGGGGCCCCGGAATGGTGACATGGAGCGCTTTACTGCATAAAGACGACCGTCTTCCTTGGAGCGCACCTGGAAGGGAAGTGGAGCCCACAGATAGGGTGGGAGGTGGCACAACCATGTAGGAGGATGATCCAGCAGATTCTATTAAGATTTCCCGTGTGCAGGAGGCGCAGCATGGTATCTGCCTTAGAGAGACCCTGCACGTGTAACAGCAAAACTGGACACACCTCCCCCTGGGGCTGGTTCGCCAGAGACCGACCGCAGGAAGAAGTGGGGTGGACCTCTGAGCACTGATCCAGGACGGCCTCTAGGACGCAATGAGTGAGAAATGCTGGGTACAGAACAACACAGGCAGTATGATCTGCTGTGTAGAAAAGAGAATGGGTTTGTCTCTATATCGTCCATTCTAGAGATGTATAGAGAAAGGTCTGGAAGGAAGGATGGTCACCTGAGAAGCACAGTGGTTTCCACCGAGAAGGAGAGCTGATTGAGGGGTCTATGTTGTTTGTATTTTTTAATAACAAAATTGTCTTTATGTAGTACTTGTGTAAGGAAAACTACCATTTAAAGGAAATACAAATGATTGGAAAATATACTTTAAGTAAAATAAAGGTGGCATGGAGGGTGTAGCCTAAGTGCCTGCTGGCCTGGGGGCTGGCGGGACAGGGGGTATACTGCCCTCGGGGGGCTGGCTACAGCGGCTGGGCAGGGTTTGCCAAGACCCCAGCGCAGCTGGCTCCAGGGTGGGAGGAGAGATGGCAGCCAGGAGCTCCAGCATGGTGTGCCAGGCCCTGGACCGAGGGACAGTGTGCACTGAGGGGGCCCTCGGACAGGCCTGGGGGGGATGAGAAAGCAGCCGAATCAAGCACCAGGGAGGGGAGCCTGTCCACCCGTGAGAGGCAGGCTGTCAGGGCAGAGAAAGGGAACAGGCTGCCCAAGATGCTGTGCCATCCAGGTTGGGGGAATGCAGGGGGCCCCAGACAGGCACGGGAGCTGTCCCCCCACTCACCTTGAAGACTTCTCCGTAAGAGCCGCGGCCCAGGCGGCCGAGCCTCTGGAAACTCTGCTGGAAGAAGGACTCTGGCCGCCTCGGGTCATAGCCGGGGCTCTGCAGGGTCTCGGAGGCCTCGCCTCGGAACGACACTCTCCGGGGCTCGAGCCGCTGCCAGCCCGGGAGCCGAGGGGGGAAGAGGCGGCTGAGAGGGATGCTGCCCTTGGCAGGAGGCCGGGGTGGGAGGCTCCGACTGAGCCCCCGGGGCCTCTTGAGGGAGAAGCCGGGTTCTGCGTGGCGGAAGTAGGCTGGGACTGGGACCGGGGTGCCACTCAAGGGTGGCGGGGTGCCCTCTGTGGGCACAGGCATGGCCGGCACAGGACGCCCCAGGGGGCAGAGGACAGAACAGTGTGTCCACTCAAACAGCGCCTGGGCCTGTGGCCCCCAAGGGGCTGTGGAAGGGAGCCGCGTCTACTCTGCACGCACGTCCTGCTTTAAACATGGAGGCCGTTGGGGACACGAGCACCTGCCGGGAAAAGGCAGAGGAAAAATACATACACATCTGCACACAGCAGTTCTGTGCCTGGAGGTCACAGACACATTGGCTGAGACCACGGGGCTGGGCTGGAGGCTCCCGCAGTCCAGCCCAGGTTCCACCGAGGCAGGGTCTGCCGGCATACAGCCCTGCCTCCTCACAGCCAGCTGCTGGGCCTTCAAATATGTAACCTCTTCCCAGACTGCACCAGGGAGACAGTAACACAGGCCCACCATCCCTTATCTCCAATTCCAAAGGAAAAAAGAAGGTCTGAATTCTAAAAGTTTCTTTCTCACTTTCTCTTTCATGGTTGTGGTGCTACAACTCATTTCGTGGAGCTCCACTTCCAGCTGAGTGGCAGAGGCTAAATCCCAGCCGAGCGCAGCAACAGACAGCGGGCCCCTCCTCCACCAACCCCCTCGCAGGGCGGAGGCTCGACCTCAGGTCTAGCAGGCTGGGAATACTGGAGCCCACTGGCTCCAGCCCCAGCTCCTGCCTCGGAAGGAGGTTTCACACTGGGAGAGGCAGGCTGAGAAGGCCAGAGGCTACACCCGCACGCTAAGGCAGTGATGCCACTCAGCTGGGCACCACGGTCCCTGGCCCAGCTCCCAGGCTGCAGCTCAGAGATTCTGCCCAGGGGAGAGGCAGTTCATAAATAGAGAGCTCCGAAGCTCTCCCTTTAAAAAACTGACTTCATTTGAAACAGAGTGTGTGAAGTTGAAGTCTAAAGTTGTTCTCAATTCAGTGGAGATCTTGGTGGTAGGCAAATAGGGGGATGCTGGTACCTCCATCAGCAACAAGCTAAACCATAGGCCAGCTGGTTTGCCAGAGAGAACCAGGGAAAGAATAGCTAAGAGCTTCCTGGGGTCAGAACAAACCTCAAACACTGAACTCAAAAGCTACCCTGTTAAAGGAGACTGAATTCAATTGGATCAGTCTATGGAGTAATTGATGCCCCAGGGCATTGTCAAAAAAGACACAGAGCAACCAGCCAGCAAGTGGTGGGGCCTAACAGCTGGGTATGATCAGGGAAAGGACAAAGAAAGCCCCCCCTAAAACCATTGGCGTCCCAGGGTAACCGTGCACACGCCAAGGCTGGGCCCTCTGAGAAGCAATGTCAGAGGCTCCACACTGCAGTGAAGAGAGACGTCACTACAATGGTCCAGCCAGTCACTAAACAAATAACAAGCAAACAACAGTCACAAGCCCCAGAGTGGGGTGAGGAACCAGTATCCACAGTTGCTACAAGATATTATCTA